CTCTTCCTTTGGAACTCACCCTGTTATTTAATGAACACACGAAACTATGCTTTATTCCTAGAAACACACACTTTCGTGTTTCTGTACCTCTCCCCGGCTTAGTAATAGTGACGATTTATTGTTATGATAACTATGTCTGGTTTCACATCTAATGCTGTTGTAACTGTTACTGTGGTGCTCATCTTTATACATGAGAAGTAAGCTCAGAAAGAACCTCCTGAAGAAATGCGAGCTAAGGAGTGGGCAAAACAGAGATCTGACTTCCACCTTCCTGCTCTTTCTCCTCCATCCGCCATCCTGCCCACCACCCTGCGGCCACCTCCCCTCCGGCCTCAAACCTTTGAAGCGTTCAGGAAACATTCGCCAAATTAAGCTTTAAAAAGAGAAAACACAAGTGCATTGGAGCCCAGGAATACATCTTCAGTGTTTTAGAACACTATATACAGATCTTACAAAGAGGGAGGGAGGGAAGGAAGGAAGAAACAAAGACCACAGATGCCTGGACAGCTCTAACTTTGCTGTTGCTTAAAGGATCTACCTTAAGAGCAGGTAAGGAGATGCCTACCTTATCACTAATGAAAGACTTTATTATAAAGGATAAAAACATCACAGGATAAACTCTAAAGAAACATTAACGTAATTTTTTTTCCCCGTAGCAGACCAAGTGCTCTTGTTGATGATGAAACTCAACTATCAGTTTCTGCTTCAGTGGGAGAACTGAGCTGGTCAAGAGAGCTGCTAACATATGTAGTCATTGGCAAGTGGAGGGGGGCAAAAGGCATTAGTAGGTAGAGTTGGCCTGATAGGTCTTTAACTCCCTGGGCTATTTGCCGCCTCACACAGATCTCATTCACGAACTGGAAAAAAGCAGTAAAGGCAGTAAAATAAATCAGGAGGAAGGCTGCCCCAGCCCACCAACATGGATCTCAGGAGTATCCAGGTATCGCACCCTTTACCTATCTCTCACCTGGACTGATGTTTGTTATTAATCACTCTGCTTTTTGGAGTCAGGCTTGAATTAGGAAAATATTATGTGGTGAATGTCTGTCCCTCTTTATTATATCCGATGTTTATTTTAACTTACTATGTATTAATTTGGCCCTGAGTTCCTAAAATGTTTTTTAGATGTTGCACACTTTGTTCATTGTTGTTAGAAGTATTAAAAAAATCAGGGAGATTTCACTTGCCTTCCTTATGTATCCTTTTTATTATGGTAAAATGTATACAATATAAAATTTACCAGCTTAAGCATCTTTAAGTGTACAATTCAGTGGCATTAAGTACATTTCACTTGTCTTTTTAAGTAGTTTGGCACTCTTCTCTAATTATACTCACACTATTAATACCTAAATAACACATCCAAAGCTTAGCATGATTTTGCCTACCAAAAAAACTCCTATAACAACAATAAGACTGATGTTTTTAGAGATGTCGACTCTGACAGACTCTTACATTATTTAGGAATGTCACATTTTTCACCAGAACATTAAGTTGTTTTTATATTCCCTTTAAGCTTGTCTGGAAAGGGGGTTATTGTTGCTAATCTTTTTTCCTCCTGAACTATTTTATCATCTCACCAGCTTATAATATATTGGTTTCATCCGGGACCAGTGCTAGTGCTTTTCTGGAAATACCTGGAACAGTAAAGGTCTCTATCAGCAGTCACCTATGAGGAGACATTTATTTCAGAGAAGTAATGAAAATTATCCTAAGAAAGAATGGTCAACAATCATCCATATGCTTGCTATTTTACAGCACTTTTCTTTGAACCTCAGGGCTCTAACACATTCTTCTTAATAGCCTATTCTTGTCTTTCATCTATTAGGAAGTTTTCCTCTCATATTATAACACCAAGATAATATGTCCAATCCTATGCTTAGGAAATGGACGGGATTATCACCCATGAGTCTTCTTACATATAGGAACTATGAAAGGAGTCAAACAGGAAAATCACTATTAGAATCAGGAGTGGAACTAAATTATAATGAGATCAGTGTCAAATTAATACTCTCTTCATAGAGGTAGAGAAGTATTATTTTAATCCTGAAAAACAATTCCCTCAAAATTTATTTCTCACCAGATTTCTAGGAATTGGCATATTGTGGTTAATAAAACAAAATTATTGTGTCTTTTTTAAAATATGCAACCATAGTAATTAGCTACAGAAATGCACCCACGTAATTTTCAAACCGTTTTTAAAATATGAAATATCATGTAGCTTTCCCATGTAATTTAAAGCACTGAAATATAACAGATATTGCAAAATTACTTTTAGCCACTAGAGGGCAGAAACTGCTCCACATTTGTACTTAACCAATTTTTTTTTTTAAGATTTTATTTATTTGAGAGAGAGAATGAGCGAGAGACAGAGTGCACGAGAACACGGTGAGGGCAGAGGGAGAAGCAGAGCAGGCTCCTGCTGAGCAGGGAGCCCGATGCCGGGCTCCATCCTGGGACTCCGGGATCATGACTTGAGCAGAAGGCAGACACTTAACTGACTAAGCCACCCAGGCAACCCTGTACTTAACCAGTTTTAAATTCTTACACCAAAAACAACAATAACCACCACCACCACCACAAAAAGTCTTTAAAAGCCTCTTGTTTTATAATGTACAGTACACTATACACTTAAGACTCAGTTAACAACTTAAAAATTTTAAACTAATGTATAATCACCTCAATTCAACAGTTTTTAGGAGGCAAAAGTAAACATTTTTGCAGCCTCAGTCTAGCTATGAGTTAAGGACGATTAGCATCAGAGAATTAGTACATCCTAAGGAAAAGCAGAGTACTTTATCTTTTTTTAAGTTTCATTTATTTAAGTAATCTCTACACCCACATGGGGCTCAAACACACGACCCTGAGATCTAGAGTCACAATCCCCTCCAACTGAGCCAGCCAGGCACCCAGAAAAGCAGAGTAGTTTTAAAACAACAACAACAACAAAAAAAAAACAGCACCCACTGAGAATCAGCAAGGTTCTGTGTTAAAATATCTGTAATGAAATCCAAAGGTTATATTTATTATAAAATTGAAATAGTCACTCAAGTCACAAAGTGATCAAATATTAAAATATTTACATTAGAGCCTTTCTCTCTCTTTTTAAGATTTTATTTATTTATTTTTAGAGAGAGGGAGAGAGAGCACAAGCAGCAGAAGGAACAGAGGGAGAGGTACAAGCAGACTCCATGCTGAGCCCAGAGCCAGAAGTGGGGGCTCAATCCCACGACACTGAGATCATGACCTGAGCTGAAATCAAGAGTCTGATGCTCAACCGACTGAGGCATCCAGGCACCCCAGACCCTTTAATTCCTATATGTACCTTCTTTTACCACAAACCGACTATAGATCTACTTCTGGCAAAGATGTTTTTAGTCTCCTCTTAATATATCTTTTTGATCTAATTAACTTTTATTCCCTCCCAATTAAGCCATTTGCATTTCAGTAATTAAAGCATTACTCTGTTTGATTAGAAACCACAACCTCTTCACTTTTTCACTCTCATTAATTAAAATGCATCATGTTAAATTAAGCCATTTGGATTTCAGTCTGGGTGGGTGACATTTTAACAACTGCCCCTTCAACCACCTCTGTCAGTCTTGGCCATGTCCTACATCATAGGACAGCGAGAGGGCAATGGCCCTCTCCTGATAGGGGAATGGGGCAGGCGTGAAGCCAGGGATTATACATCACTGAAGTCAGCGATTTCTCTGATGCATGAGCCTTTCACTTGCCAATCAAACTGGATAAGGCTTTTACCTTGTAGTGTTATGCATGACCTTACTCAAGACACTAAATCATTTCTGAAGTCTTGTTTCTTACCCTAAGCAAACCTGTTCTCACTTTTCAGGTCTATGAGCACTGTTCACTCTAATACTAATAAACACAGCAAAGTGGTAGAGAAAAGCTGAGGGGTAGGACATGGTGGAGGTGTCGTGTCACTTCTTTTAGACTAATGAAAGCAACGTGCTTCTAAAATCAAGGCTAGTCAGAGAAGAGAAAGGCTTCTGTGTTATTACCTATTGGTGGAAGTTACAAATTGGCAAGTTTGAAAGGAACGTCTAACCATTATAGCTGCCCAGTAATTGATCTGACTTACATAAGCTATGGAAATGTGAGCAAAGACTGGATGGTTATACATCAGGAATATCACAGACAGCACTTCTGCACGGCCTGTGAAGTTATACTAATTGACTTCCAAACTTTGAGTCTTCTTTTAAGATTAATTTTATGTTTAAAAAGAAATAGGTGAACAAAGTTTAAGAAGTCAAAAGAATTCTACAGGATTTGTATTAGAGTGACTGCATCCCAGTTTTCCATATGGTGTCAAATTTCTAAACAAACAAACAAGCATGATTATACATTTGCATCAGTTAAAAATTACCTTTGAATTCAAAGACAGGGATGAGGTAGGGAGGATCACTGACTTAAAACAAATTGAAAGAGATTCCTGGAAGATACATTGTTCCAAGACTTACTAATCTAAGAATAACTTTTCTTCCCTCACACTGTGATTTTATATCCACCCAAATTCTCAATGAAGTATAGGGTTAGGAAAAGTAATGTCAGGCCATTTGTGCTCCCAAGCTCCCCAGAGGGTTAGTCAAAGTTTTGTCAGGCTGGAGACACGGACAGTCTTCTCCCTCTGCCCAGCCCTGCTTCCCTTCCTCCCTTCCACAGGTGTTGATCTTTAACAAACTTCTTGTACCCCAAACTCCCTCTCAGCATCTGCTTCCAGAAAATCTCATCTACAACAAATAAGTAATATGGTTCAAAACTCAAAAGTTGCAAAAAGGGAATATGGTAAACCCCCTCCCTCCCTCCGCTGAGTTACAGTTACCACTTCCCCTTCCCAAGGTCAATCAGTGTAATGTGGCCAGGTTCTTGTGCGTATTTCTAGAAATATTCTAAGCATATATAAGAAATGTTGTATGTATATATATATACATAGAATTATTAGAGATTCATCCTCGTGCACCATAGGCGGCACAGGCACCAAGATGTCCAACTGAGTGGTCTGCCGGGAAGCCAGTCACGCCGGGAGCTGGTACACAGCCTCAGGACCGCAGCTGAATGCACAGCTAGAAGGTTGGCTCTCACAAGTACAGTCTACAAAAAGACCTGCTAGAGCCATTATTGCACCCCATGCAGGATATACGTACTGTGGGTCCTGTGCTGCTCATGCTTACAAACAAGTGGATCCCTCCATTACCCGGAGAATTTTCATCCTTGGGCCTTCTCATCATGTGCCCCTCTCTCGATGTGCACTTTCCAGTGTGGATATATATAGGACACCTCTGTATGACCTTCGTATTGACCAAAAGATTTACGGAGAACTATGGAAGACAGGAATGTTTGAACGCATGTCTCTGCAGACAGATGAAGATGAACACAGTATTGAAATGCATTTGCCTTATACAGCTAAAGCCATGGAAAGCCATAAGGATGAGTTTACCATTATTCCTGTACTGGTTGGAGCAGTAATCTAATTACTGCTCCAACCAGTAATTCGGAAAACTCTTCAGTAAATATCTAGCGGATCCTAGGAATCTCTTTGTGGTTTCTTCAGATTTCTGCCATTGGGGTCAAAGGTTCCGTTACAGTTACTATGATGAATCCCAGGGGGAGATTTACAGATCCATTGAACATCTAGATAAAATGGGTATGAGTATTATAGAACAATTAGACCCTGTATCTTTTAGCAATTACTTGAAGAAATACCGTAATACTATATGTGGAAGACATCCCATTGGGGGGTTATTAAATGCTATCACAGAGCTCCAGAAGAATGGAATGAATATGAGCTTTTCCTTTTTGAATTATGCCCAGTCAAGCCAGTGTAGAAACTGGCAAGACAGTTCAGTGAGTTATGCAGCGGGAGCACTCACAGTCCACTGAAGCTCTGAATCCTCAGGGATGCCACCTGCACATACTCATTCTCTGTCCGGGGTCCCAGCCTAGCCCTTACCAAGATACTGGTCCTGGTTTGGGGGGATTCTGAAACCTCAAACTAATAGAACTTTCTTCTCTTCTTTTCTAGTAGGTGTAGTCCTTCCTTAATTTCAACTCATTAAAAAATGCTTTATAGTTTAGGGCAGTGGAAGGAAGGCTGGCATCAAAAAAGATGGCAATGTAAAGGCCCAATTGTGGCAGACAGTGTTTTGAAAGTAACTTGTAAAGCATTTACCATATCCTAAATTTGCACTCTTTGCAGACTTGTGCACATATATTCTGCTTTCAGAATAGTTTTGCAAATTGTACACAAACAAACAAAAAAAGGGTGGAAGCTTTTTAATAAAGAAATTGCATTTATAAATGATCTGTATTAGAATATAATAAATCTCCAGTTATAGTCAATTACTACCCGTGTTGTACAACAGATACCTTCTATTTTAGTTGCTAATAAAGGGCTACACAACTCAAAAAAAATTATTAGAAAATGTATCAATTTCTTTCATTTACTAACAAATAGTAGCATACCCTACAACTGTTCTATACTTTGATTTTTCTTCCCTTCAGATATATCTCAGAGGTTGTTTGAAGACAATAAATAAAAAGTATCATCGCTCTTTTTAATGGCTGCATGGTATTGCATTGTATGGATGTGATATAACTTAGTTGATGGACTTTAGGTTATATCAAATCTTTTCCTGTTACATACAATTCAGTACTGCTTGAGCCCTGTGGGTATGCATGTGTGCAGGGAAAATTCCTAGAAAAGGGATTTCTAGGTCAAAATGCTATCCAGTCACAATTTTGATAGATGTTGGAAAATTCCATTTATATTGTAAATTGCCTTCCAATATATTCCATTATATTGCCTTCCATTTATATTGTACCAATTTATATTCCCTTGAAAAATAAATGAGAGGCTATTTCCCCATACACTTCCTTTATGTGTATCACAGAATTAACAAAGTCCAGTATAAAATATAAGTAAAAGTAGAAATTTAAATGTTTGGGTAAAAAATATAGAGGTTCTAATTATTTTTTCCATGCCCTATTGGATCACCTTGTGCCGTCTTGGTAACGCTTCACCCCACTTTGGAATCCAACAGGTTACTAAACTGCGGTTTTCTGAGATCAAGGATCAGACATTTTCAACTTTGCATCCCCTATGTTGAACGCACAGTAGTTGTTCAATTAACATCTATAGAATAAATGAAGTTATGGAAAAAAGAATAAATCTGGTAAGCAATAAATATAAGCATATAAAATTTCTCATTTCAATATGCATATTTTACCACCAATATGTCTTAAAAGTTGTGTACAAATATACATACACAGTTCATTACTGAACAATACAGGGGTTAGGGGCACCAAACTCCCAGTCAAAAATATGAATATAATTTTTTACTCCCCCAAAACTTAACTACTATTAGCCGATTGTTGCTCAGAAGCCTTAAAAGTAACATAAACAATCAATTAACAGGTACTTTGTTATTTTTATTATATACTGTATTTTTAAAGTAAGCTAAAGAAAAGAAAGTATTAAGAAAATCATAAGAAAGTATCATATTGTGAAACATCCACATATAAATGGACCCACACAGTTCAAATCCGTGTTGTTCAAGAGTCAACTGTAGTATATGTTGGTAAAGTGTATGTGTATGTGTGTGACATATGTGTATGCCCAAAATGCTCAAAATTCTTTTTACCAATTCCATTTTACACACACACACACACACACACACACACACAAACACACACACACACACATTTTCTTTATTCATCAATGGACACTTATGTTGTTTCCATGTCTTGGCGATTGTAAATACTGCTGCATGAACATAGGGGCCTAGATATCTCTTTGAGATCGTGATTTCATTTCCTCTGAACATATATTCAAAAGTGGAAATGCTGGATCATATAATAGTTCTATTTTTAATTTTTTGAGGAACCTCCATACTGTTTTCCAGAGTGGCTACACCAGCTTGCATTCCCACCAACATCTGTCATTTCCTGACTTGTTAATTTTAGCTTATATGGCCTTTATTATATTAAGGTATACTTCTAGATCTAAGTTGTTGAATTTTTATCATGGATGAATGTTGAATTTTATCAAATGCTTTCTCTGCATCTACTGAGATTATCATATGATTTTTATCTTTTATTCAATTAATGTGATATATCGTATTTGTTGATTAGTATCTGTTGAACCATTCTTGCACCCCAAGGATGAATCTCACTTGATAAGATACTTTTAATGTGTTGTGGAACTTAGTTTTGTAGTATTTTGTTGAGAATTTTTGCAACTATATCTACCAAGGATATTGGCCTATAGTTTTCTTTTCCTGTAATGTCCTATCAAGCTTTGGTAGCAGGGTAATGCTGGCCTTGTAAAATAAGTTTGAGAGTGTTACCCCTCTTCTGTTTTTTTCCGAAGAGTTTGAGAAGGATTGGTGTTACTTCTGTAAATGCTTCATAGAATTCACCAATGAAATTATCTGGTCGTGGGCTTTTCTGTGTTATAAGGTTTTTGATTACTGATTCAATCTCCTTACTCATTATTGATCTGTCCAGATATTCTACTTCTTTCTGGCTCAGTCTTGGTACGTTGCATGCTTCTAGGAATTTATCCATTTCTTCTAGGTTGTCCACCTTGTTGATGTATAATTATTCATTGTAGTTTCTTATGATCCTTTGTATTTCTGTGGTATCAATTATAATGCCTTTTTCATTTATAATTTTATTAACTTGGGTCCTCTTTTTTTCTTGGCTAGTCTAGCTAAAGGTTTGTCCTTTTTGTTCATCTTTTCAAAGAACCAACTCTTAGTTTTGTTAATCTTTTCTATTGTTTTTCTATTCTCTATTTAGTTTGTTCTGCTCTAATGTTGATTTCCATCCTCCTGATTACTTTGGGTTTAATTTGCTCTTTTTCTAATTCCTTGAGGAACTAGTTAGGTTGTTCATTTGAGGTCTTTCTTTTTTCTTGATGTTTGCATATATCACTATAAACCCTTAGAACTGCTTTTGCTGCATATCCTGTATTTTGGTATGCTGTGTTTTCATTTTATCTCGATATTTTTTATTTCCTTTTTATTTCTTCTTTGACTCATTCATTGCTCAAAAGTGTTCTAATTTCCACTTATGAATTTTCCAATTTTCCTCCTATTATTTATTTCTAGTTTCATACTATTGTGATCAAAAAAAGATACTGAACGATTCAGTATCTTTTTAAAGACTTCTTTTGTGACCCAACATGATCCATTCTAGAAAACGTTCTGTGTGCACTTGAGAAAAATGTGTATTCGGCTGCTGTTGGATGAATGTTGTTCAAATCGCTGTTTCCTTATTGATTCTCTGTCTGGATGATCTATTCATTGTTGAGAGAGAGGTATTAAAGTCCCCAGCTATTATTGCATTGTTGTTTACTTCTCCTTTTAGTTCTGTTAGTATTTGCTTTATGTATTTAGGGGCTCTGATGTTGGCTGCATAAATATTTACAATTGTATCTTTCGATGAATTGACACCTTTATCATTTTTATAATGATCTTGTCTCTTTAGACCATTTTTAGCTTAAAGTCCATTTTGTCTAAGTAAAGCTATGTCTGCTGTTTTTTGATTATCATTTGCTTGAAATATCTCTTTCCAGCCCTTCACTCTCAGCCCATGTGTCCCCTTACACTTAAGTGAGTCTCTTATGAGCAGCATATCACTGGATCTTTTTTTATCCATTCATTCTATGTCTTTAGATTGAAGAATCTAATCCATTTATTTTAAAAGCAATTATTGATAGGCAAGGACTTACTAGTGCCATTTTGTTCATTTTTTTCTGACTTCTTTGTAGATTTTTTAAGATTTTATTTATTCATTTGAGACACAGAGATACAGAGAGAGAGAGAGAGCATGAGCAGGGAGAGAGGCAGAGGGAGAGGGAGAAGCAGGCTCCCCATCGAGCAGGGAGCCCGATGTGGGGCTCGATCCCAGGACCCTGGGATCATGACCTGAGCTGAAGGCAGATGCTTAACCATCTGAGCCACCCAGGCACCCCAAGATTTTTTATTCCTGCTTCCTCTCTTGCTGTCTTCCTTTGTTACTTGATGACTTTTTGTGGTAGTATACTTTGACTCTTTTATCGTAATTTTTGTGTATCTAATCCAGATTTTCTTTTGTGGTTGCCATGAGACTTACACAAAATATCTTATACTTATAATAGCCTATTTTAAGCTAATAGCAACTTAACTTTGGTAGCATACAGATACTTTATACTTTTATTTCTCCCCTACTCTCACATTTTAGGTTATTGATGATACAGTGTATGCCTTTTTATATTGTGTATCCAGTAACATATTGTAGTTATGGCTATTTTTAATAATTTGTTTTTGAACTTTTAAACAAGAGTTGTAAATTATGCACCACCATTACAATATTAGAAAATCTGACTTTGACTATGTTTACCATTACCAGTGACTTTTACATATTCACTTTTTGTTATGTTAATTAACATCCTTTTATTTCAGCTTGAAGAATGCCCTTTGGCATTTCTTGTAAGTCATGTCTAGTGGTGATGAACTCCCTCAGCTTTTGTTTCTTAGGGGAAGTCTTTCTTTCTCTTCCCTTTTAAATTACAGTTTTGTCAGGTATAGTATTCTTGGTTGACAGGTTTTTTTTCTTTCAATATTTTAAATATATCGTACCACTCTCTCCTAGACTGCAAAGTTTTTCTTTTTTTAAAGATTTTATTTATTTATTTGACAGAGATACAGATAGCAAGAGAGGGAACACAAGCAGGGGGAGTGGGAGAAGGAGAAGCAGGCTTCCCGCTGAGCAAGGAGCCCAACGCAGGGCTCGATCCCAGGACCCTGGGATCATGACCAGAGCTGAAGACAGACGCTTAATGACTGAGCCACCCAGGCACCCCCAGACTGCCTCCCATGTATATGACAACTCATTTTTCCTGCTTTCAAGATTCTTTGTTCCAAATTTTGACAATTTAATTATAAATCTTAGTGTAGCCCTTTATGGGTTCAACCTATTTGGGGTTGTTTAGACCCCATGAATCTGGATGTCAATTTCTCTCCCCAAATTTGGGAAGTTTTCAGCCATTATTGCTCTAAAGAGACTTTCTGGGGGTGGCTGGGTGGCTCAGTCAGTTAAGCATCCAACTCTTGATTTCAGCTCAGGTCATATCTCAGGGTCGTCAGATCAAGCCCTGCATGGGGCTCCACACTCAGCACAAAGCCCACTTGTCCCTCTCCCTCTGCTCCTCCCCCCACTCACTCTCTCTCTTAAATAAAATCTTTAAAAAAATAAAGAGATTTTTTTAATTTTGTTATGTTAATCCCCATACATTACATCATTAGTTTTTGATGTAGTGTTCCATGATTCATTGTTTGCATACAACACCTAGCGCTCCATGCAGGACACACCCTCTCCAAAAAAATGGGAATTGAAGAGACTTTCTGTCCCTTTCTCTCTCTGTTCTCCTTCTGGGATTTCCATTTTACCGTTTCTCTTGATGGTATAAGTCCCATAGGCTTTCTTCACTCTTTTTCATTCTTTTTTCTTTTTGCTCCTCTGACTGGGTAATTTCAAATGCCCTACCTTTAGTTCACTGATTCTTTCTTCTGCTTAGTCAAGTGTGCTGTTGAAGCTCTCTATTAAATTCTTCAGTTCAGTCATTTTATTCTAGTTCTAGGATTTCTGTTTGGGGTTTTTATAGTTTCTATTTCTTTGCTGAACTTCTCATTTTGTTCATGCATTGTTTCCCTAATTTTGTTTAACTTTCTGTGTGTTCTTATAGTTCACTGAATTTCTTCAGAGGATTATTCTGAATTCTTTATCAGACAGTTCATAGATCTCCATTTTTTTTAGGGTCAGTTATTGAACCTTTATTAGTTTCCTTTAGTCACGTTTCCCTGATTCTTCATGATCCTTGATGCCCTGCATTTGTATCTACGCATTTGAATAGCAGTCTCTTCTTCTATACTTTACAGGTTCATTTCAGCAGAGAAAGATCTTCACTAGTCAGCTCAGCTGGACTGGATGGGTCAGCTGGCACAGTCTGTGAGCAACTGGGCTTGCTATCAGAGTCTAGTTGAGCAAGGCCACTGCTTATGCTCTGAGGTTGTAAGGGGGGAGGGTGCCACTGGCTGAGCTCCAGGGTAGGCCTCCTGGCTGACCTACATGTCAAGCAAGGTTGCTGGGTGGGCTCTCTCAGGGGGTGAGGCTGTTGGCTGTGCTTCACAGTCAGATGTGGCCACTAGCTGGGCTTTGCAATCATCTCTGGTCAGGCAAGGTCGCAGGCTATGTTCCATGGTGGGTGATGCCACTGGTTGAACTCCACAGTTGGGAAAGTCTATGGGCTGAGCTCTGCAATTGCTCCTGTTAGATTGGATCTCAGACTGTGCTCTCCAACCGGATGCTGCTGCTGACTGGACTCTGTGCTCAGGTGGGACTTCAGGCAGAGCTTCAGAGTTGGAGAGGCCTCAGGCTAGTTCCTATGAACAGGCAAGGCCACAGACCCTGAAGCTGGGCAAGACTACAGGCTATGCTTCATGATTAGGTAGGCTGCTGGCTATGCTCTCTGGTCAGGAGGGGCCTCCAGCTGTATCCTGTACTTTGATGGGCCTAGATAGTGTACACTGAGGTCTAGCAGGGTAACTGGCTGGGTTCCCTTTTAGGTAAGGCCATGGATGGGGTTCAGCAATTGGGTTGGGCTGTAGGCTGGGCTCCACAGCTGGGCAGTAATATAGGCTTGACTGTAAGCCTTCCTAAGGTCACTGTTCACACTCCCTGGTTATGTGGGGTGGGGCCACAGCTATACTCAATAGTTGGGCAAAACTGCTGACCTGGCTCCCTGCCTGTGCATGGCTGTAGGATGGACTCTGTGGTTGCCTAGATTTCCTGATCAAGTGCGATTGGAAGCTACATTCAAGAATTGGGTGCAGATGGAAATTTGCTTCCCTGCCTGGGGTGAGGAGGCATAGAACAGGCTCAACAGCTGGTAAAGCCTGTTAGCTAGGGACCCAAATCAAGCAGAACTGCCAACCAAGTTCCCTGTCCAGACAGGGCCACTAGCTAGGATCTCTGCTCAGGCACCACTGCAAGCAGGAATGTGATTTGCCAAGTTCTGAGCTTCGGTTACTGTAAGCCCTAACCTCTTCTCCATCTCTATCTTATCCCCAGTGGTTGAGCCCCACAGACTCTCCCAGCCATCTCTGTGAAGGAAGACCCAAGTGGGTTTCCTGGGAAGCATCTCACAATGCTCAGAGGCTAGATGTCCACCTAGGGCTCTGTATTTTTCCCCACTTGTGAAACCATAGGCCCTGGGGGGACTTCAGTGCATCCAGGCATGGAGGGGCAATACAATCCTCCTACTCTCCTAATGAGGTTCTTCTCAATCTCTGTGGATGGACATGGAGGTGCTTCAGCCTCACCCCTGGGTTCTGCAATTTTCACAATGTCTTGTCTATAGATAGTTGCTAGTTGGTCTTCTTATATAGAGGGACTGAAGTGAAGAATGGCCTATGTCACCGTATTGATTATGTCACTTTTTCAGTTGTGTTTAACTTAAATAAATGTTATGGAGCTTTAGATCTTATTCTGTTTCTTTTTTATTCAACAGTTTTTCTTTCCTATGTGTGATACAATATGTATAGTTAGGAAAACAGAAACGAAACTAGGCATTTCAGCAGAGGGAATATAGAAAAGTGATGACAGAGATGTACTGAAAGACCAAAACAAGAATAGAAAAAAAGAAAACAAAACAAAACAAATAATAATGACAATAAATTGGGGAAGCAGAGGATAAATTAGGGGTTACCAAGTCCTGGAAGCTCATGAATCTTGACTCTGACCTGTGAGGGAGGGTCTCAAACACAAAGCAAAATCCAGGACTAGAATAGCTGCTGGAAGCACGAGAACTGAATAAAGATTCTAGACACTGAACAGTGCTGGGGACACACTGGAGTTCAGGCCTAGGGAGAGTGAAGGGACTTCGGTGAACATTCTGGCTGTGCAGCTAAGGCCCTTTTATAAAGGGGCAAAGAGTCGGGGGCAAAGTTGAAATAGACCCACCTTAATAAAACCTAAAACCAAGTCTCATACATGCTGGTAATTTAACGGCCTGCCAGAAAAAAACTCAATACTCTTTCAATACCAATAACATAACCCAAAGGATGATTCCAAAGTTCCTTACTTGAAAAAGTGACAGAGGTAAAATGTGGACCTAAAGGAAATTTAATGGAATGACCAACATCAGAACCTACCCACGAGTATGAACTAAAATTGTACCATCATATATGGGCCAAGTGTTTTTTAGGAATCAAAGATTTCCTAGGCGCAAAAACATATCAAAGAGATTTTAAATAGACAGTTTCCCACCACATTATAGTATTAATAAACAAACCAAACTATAAAATAAAATAAAAACTAAAAAGGCTTTCCCTATTCTCAAGACTCAACAAGACCCACCTAGCTTAATCCAATGGCAAATATTCAACCCAATTCAACAGATTTACTTGGTACCTACCTAGGTGTTTCCAGAATTATTTAGCCCACTGGCACTGGTTTCAAGGAGGGAACACCCAAACAATTATTCTTTTCATGAGCATTTAAGTGCCTGTTAGGTACTAAGTACTAAAGTTGTGCATTAGGAACCCAAAATGAATCGAAAAACACCACTCCTGCTTTTTAGGAACTTCCATATTATGGAGAGAGGTAGACATATAAACCAATAGGTACTGCAATATAAGTGTTGTAATACAGAGGCAAGAACTAAAGGGGAAGACATGAGGGTGCATTTAACTTTCCACAGAGAAGAAAAGAATATGAGGATAGCAGAGAAGAGCACAGCTTTGATGTCCAGACATGGATCATTTGTCATGTATGTCAAATGAGAATAATATCTACTTCACAGGGCTGCTGTGGGATTTAAAATTATGTACACCTGCACACACATGCATAATTCTATCATAGCACCTGGCACATAGTGTGTATTAACTAAATTATCTTTGCTAAGGTGTGCAAATTATCAATTTATTGGTTCTCCATTCTAAATTCACTCTTCTTTGCCCTGCATTTTGTGAGAGTGGACTTGGATCCTGCAAAAGCTTCTCCTTTGTCAGGTGGCAGAATTTTAAACTTCATCAATAGAGGGTACTGGAATGACCCTGCAAGGCAAAGATAACAGTATAAGACACTTCTGTTTCAGGTACTGATCCTCTCTTATTATTATTCACCACCAGAGCCCAGCTGCCACAAAGAAGAGTTCCAGCTGTGCCATTAGACCACTCTCTCTCCACCAGGAGCTGTATGCAGCCCATACCCTCCCAAAATGGCAGGCCACTTCTAAAGGCCAGCTCTGGCCAACTCATATCTTTCAAGCAAGATTTGCATTTTACATGTCAGATTTGCATTTTACAAAAGTCTCCCCGGTGGCAGTGTAGAGAATGATAGGATGAAGCTAAAACTTGGAGGGAGGCAAAGTAGTAGAACACTGTAACTGATGTTTCTAAAACTCACTAACATTTCCAGTTCCCTCTTTTTCTAGGTACATAGGAACAGGACATATCCCAGGCCACGTCCTGTTATTTCCTGTGGCCACTGAAATGTTTAGAAACTGATGCAAATCACTTCTGAGTAGAAACATTTAAGAGCTGGTACTTAATTATCTACACTCCCTTCTGCTGGTCCAAGTCTTGAGGCCCCATACTGAGATGGCAGAACTGTCTGACAGTAGGTTTTCCATCAACCTAGACCCCTGATGACAAGGTGCAGAGGCCCCCTGCAGTACTGGAGCATAAGGAGAAACTAGCTACTGAGATTTTAGGCCACTTTGATTTGGGGGTTATATGCTACTGTGGCATGAACTAGCCTAGAGTCCACTCCTTTGGTTCTTTGGGATCCACAGACACCTCTCTACCCATATTTAAACATCAATGCAATAATATGGCATGCTTCCACCTAAAATGATGAAATTATTTTTCATACAAATGAATATACTATCACTCACTCCCCAGAAGGTCCTAACAGTCACCATGTCTACTTCTGAATGATGTTAATTTCCTCTCCTAGTTTAGTTACAATGCCATCAAAATATTCTGCATCTTAAATACTACATTGTAAAGTCAACCACCAACAAACATCCTTTAATTAACATTAAAGTATTAAAACATTCTAATATTTAAAAAAATAAGAAAGAAAAAATTATACAATATGTACAAACATTACATAACAAGTGTTTGGTTATCTATTACTGCATGATAAACCCTCCCAGGGCTTGGTGGTTTTAAAGAACAACTGTTTTATTACCTTGTGATTCTGCAGGTTGACTGAGATCATGTGGGCAGTTCTTCTGCTGGTCTCACCTGGGGCCTCTCATGTGGTTGAGTCAGATGACAGGTGGGACTGGAGTCATCTCTTCAGATAACAGGGACATTTTGACAACAGGGTCTCTCTCCCTCTTCATGTAATCTTTCCACAGTGTCTCTCCAGTAAGGCAGTCAGACTTAAAAGCAAATGTTCCAAGAAGGAGAAAGTAGAAGCTGCCAATCCTCTTAAAGACTAGGTCTAGAATTGGTACAGCACCACTTCGACTGCATTCAAGTGGTTAACATGAGTCACAGACCAGCCCATTCAAATGTAGGTGGGAAGTACACGTGAGCATTAATAGCAGGAGCTGTGGTTCACTGGAGGTCATCTTTGGAGCCTCGTCCACCTAGACTAGGAAGAAAATATATAGCATGACTACAGTCCTCATTTTCATACTTCTTGAGGCTAGAAGTGCAAGAGTGTTTGCCTCTCGATGCTGCACCTACACATTGGACTATAACTGGTCCCTGGGTCCATATCCCCAGAGACTGCAGGCACTGGGACAATTCCTGACACATTCTAGGCAATAAGGGATTATTTACTAAATAAGCACATTTTATAAATATCTGCATCTACGTCATTTCAATGACTACATAGTTCCTTAGCTACTTAAGGCAAAAAACTCAATTTACTATTAATTAAAGTGTCATTAAACTCATTTGTAATCAGTTCAATTTTAAAGCCAGCAGAATATGTATTTTTAATTGTCATCCTAATAAGTAGGATATATACATTGGAATCAATGAGGTTTTAAGCTTTGCAATTTTTTTAAATGTATATTTTAAAGTCACTGAAAGAGACTTCCCAACCCATCTTCTAGGCAAGGAATAAGACTCAAACTTTTTCCCTTTAAAAAATACTCATGAGGGTGCCTGGGTGGCTCTGCCAGTTAAGCATCTGCCTTCAACCAGGTCATGATCCCAGGGCTCTGGGATCATGCCCCACTTCAGGCTCCCTGCTCAGCGAGGAGACTGCTTCTCCCTCTCCCACTCCCCTTGCTTGTGCTCTCTCCCTCTCCCTCTCTCTCTCTCTCTCTCTCAAATAAATAAATAAATAATCTTTATAAAATACTCATGAAATAACTATATCAAAAAGATATCTGTACACCCCATGTCCACTGCAGCATTATTTATAATAGCCAAGACATGGAACAACCTCAGTGTCCATCAACGGAGGAGTGGATACAGAAAATGTGGCACATGCACAAACACACACACACACACACACACACACACACACACAAAAACTATTCAGCCATTAAAAGAAAGAAACCCTGCATTCGGGACACCTGGGTGACTCAGCTGCTTAAGGGTCTGCCTTAGGCTCAGGTCATGATCCCAGGGTCCTAGGATCAAGTCCTGCATCTGGTTCCTTGCTCAGTAGGGAGTCTGTTTCTCCCTCTGCCTGCCACTCTCCCTGCTTGTTCACTCTCTCTCTCATTCTCTTTCCTTCTCTCTCTCTAATAAATAAATCTTAAAAAAAAAAGTCCTGCATTCATAATGACATGTATGGATCTTGAGGGCATTATGCTAAGTAAAATAAGACAGAGAAAGATAAATACTGTATGATCTCACTTATATGTGGAATCCAAAAAAAAAAAAAAACCAAACTCATAGAAAAAAAGATCACATCTGTAATCACCAAAGGCAGGGGGTAAGAGATGAGGGAATCAAGTGAAGGTGGTCAAAAAGTACAAATTTCCAAATACAAAAACCACTGGGAGGTAATGCACAACAGGATGACTAGAGTTAATGCTATATGGTATATTTGAAGTTACTAAGAGAGCAAATCCTAAAAGATTTCATCACAAGGGGAAAAAAAGTCTTTTTTGTAACTAAACATGGTGACAGATGCTAACAACTAAAATTGTGGTAATTATTTCATAACATACACATATATGAAGTCATTATGCTGTACACCTTAAACTTATACAATGTCATATGTCAATTATATCAAAACTGGGGGGTGGGAATTTTTTTAAATACTCCTATCTGCTAAGAAGTACCAGATATCTCAAAACCTTATTTGGTTCATTAACAAATACCACTTACTTAAAAGTCTCGATAACAGATTTAAAACAAAGGTTATAGAGTATAACTAATAATTTACATTATTATAGTCTTCCCATATATTATTTCCTTGAAGGTTAAAGGTCTAACTTTAGGGGTTTGGAATTTTTGTCAACCCAGCCACAATATTCTATGCAAATATTTTTTCAATCCCAAATTTCATTTTCCCTGCTGGAAGGATTAGTGGTGACTCGAAGAATATATTAAGGTAAATGAGGTGATGAAGGAGAGATCAACCTGTCAGAAGTAGAAAAGTGATCCGAGGCTACTGACTCCACTGGTGGTGGCGACAGACCTAAGAAGTCAGTTATTTTGAGCCCCACCCCCGTAAGTGGCTACTTTGTGTTGTTGGGGTCACATATATATCACCTGATGGCTGAGGCAGTGTGAGTTAAGTTAAAAAAGCCTAGAATAAGGAGCATGGTCAAGTAGACCCAGTCTTGACATCCTCAAGAACCTTTCAGATAGGGAAGGATTTCCAAAGTGAACCCTTGTTTTATAAAGATCTGACAATGAATTTTTTTAAAGATTTTATTTATTTATTTGACAGAGACACAGCGAGAGAGGGAACACAAGCAGCAGGAGTGGGAGAAGGAAAAGCAGGCTTCCTGCTGAGCAGGGAGCCGGACGTGGGGCTCGATCCCAGGACCCTGGGATCATGACCTGAGCCAAAGGCAGACGCTTAATGATTGAGCCACCCAGGTGCCCCCGACAATGAATTTTTTCTTGCCTATAAATTTTATTTGGAAATAGTAAATTTAAAAATAAGTAATTATATTTTCCTACCCTTTACTCCCACTTGACAGAGAATAAAATTTCAAACCCAGTAGAACCTGTAGACTATCACCATATATCCTGGTCAATCAACCCATTGTTGCCCTAACTTCCCTGGTACCACAACCATTCACATACAAACATGTGGCTAGTGATGCAGCTTCAGCAGATATGCCTGATTCAATCTATCACGCTCAATCATTACCTCCCAGGAAGAATCAAGCCATAAGGAAAAGGGACAAAGGTCAACCACAAGAGAAAGGTGGACTATGGAAATTAATGGAAGGCTGGGCACAGGAAATGGGCTGAGCTGACAGGGAATTTAATGGGAAGGAATTTAAAGGGAAATCCTGAAAACCCTAGACAGCAAAAGGACAAAATAAAATTTTAAAAAAGGTTAGGCTGGACTTCCTCGAGAAGTTTTTTTTTGGGGGGAAAGATATTTAAAGGAGTGAAAGGTATAGGCAAACCACCTAATTCACAACTCTATCTCCAGCAGTATTTACTCTTGCAAGCTTAGTGGAGTTGTGGAAGAGGTGCCGGGACTAAAAAGTTGACCAAGAATACAAAATGACTACCTTGCCTACTCCAATGTACCTTTCTTTCCCTCACAATCAGCTAACATTAACCTAGAAGGCACAGCATAAAATGAATACCCACTGGCCGGCTGATGAAAACGTTGTTTAAAAAAAGGCAGAGAACAAGGACACTGTCACACCTCCCTTCTCAGAGGTGGTGCTCACTCTTACCCCCACAGCCTTCTGTGTTCCTGCAGGCTTGGTTCTAGCCTCTCCCAAAACCTAAGCTTCCCACGCCCCCATCCCTCTGGGGAGCCCAGTTCTGTCATCAGAGAAACTCCGTGGCTCTTTAAGCGCAGAAATGTGGTTCACATTTGTTTCTGGGGAGGGGAAAGGCAAGGGCAGGTGTGCGTGTAACTGACGTCATCAAGGTGGAGGCTAGATCCTTGGGAACTGCATAGGGCATCCGCAGCCCAACCTGCCAGTTCACCACGTCCGCACCGACCCAGGGGAGGAAGAGCTGAGGTTCTCACAGGGTGCAATTCCGCGAGCTGCGCGTGCAGAGTCCTGAGAAGCCACCCTGGATGTGGCGGCACTCTTCTCCATTCCCGCAAGGGGAGGTGGAGGAGGAACATGGGTGGGTCGCTCCCGCCTCACCAGGGTGTCCTCTGGCCCTCGATCCTGGCCCTGTGCTCATCCTCTGCCCGGTCCACACGAGCGAACGCCTCGGCCAGGGGAAAAGCCTAGAACAGGCAACCCACTTCAAGTAGAACATGAAGCCGCCACCAGAGGACGCCTGGGGGCAGAGCGGGGCGAGGCGTGGGGGCGGGGCCAGGGGCCTGGGTCGCCAGAAGAGTTCCTTTCACCTCTACACTGGGCGTCTAGCCCTCCCTCCACGCTTCAAGTCCCACTTCCCATTCCTACGGGTCGCGGAGCGAGCCTGCGAAACCTCTAAGAGCCGCCCGCTGCCCCGCAAGAATGCATTACCTAGTGCCACGGTCACGGTTGTCGTCACAGGCACCCTCAACCCCACCCCTGGCCTGTCCGCGATCCCTCTCTCCCACCCGCACCTGCCCCTAGCCCGCAAGCTCCCCGGACCCGCAGGTGCCGATGACAGCGGGATTCCACGCCCCGCAGAGGCCCACCAGCTCCGGGGAAGGGGAGACGCGGTCCAGAGCCGCTCCCAGGCGGATGTCCCAGGTGTGTCCGAACCCCTGAGTCACACTGCTTGACAGGACGCTGATGGCCAGGGAGACACGCGGTCCCAGCCAGGGTGCCTCCTTGGCTTCCCCCTCCAAGTCTGAGGGAGAGGGTGGGATTCTCACCCCTTTGGGGTCCTGCTCCTGCCGCGCCCCTGCTTCTCCACCTCTACAAAGGGCTTCTCTCATTCCGGATCCCTGAAACCTTTAGAAGCACAGCTGATTCTGTTGGATGATTCTCCCTGCTTTTTGGAGATATTATGGGGTGGGGAGGCAGTGGGGGATCAGCTGAGCTTTCTTGAATAGTTATGGTAAATTCTGAGGCAAAAATATAATTTCAGTTGATATCCATACAGTAGTGGCCTTTTATGGATATGGACCTACATGTCATGTCATCCAGATAGTGTTTAGATTGTACTTAGGGACATCTTCCACTTGTGGATTTGTTTCCGTTGAAATTCATTTCCATAGAATTTAAGTTGCTATTTATTACTGATCTGATCATCCGAGGGTCCACAGACAGCCTGTTGGGGAGGTGATTTCTACGCAGTGGTGAGCTGAACAATTCAGCAGTGTAAAGTATGTTCCCAGCCTTCCCTGAGGGAGGGTCCTCGTGACAGTGACCAAATCAAGCTGACTGCTAAACCGAGTGTGCCCTCTTCTCTTCCAGTCTGTGCCATCTTAGTCAAGAAACATGGAGGTAATTCATGGCAGGCCCTATTGTTGCAGAGAGCTTGAAGGAGCTGACATACTGTCCAATACCTTCTACTCTAATGAACTGCACACTCCGCTACAAACAACTGTTCGTCCAACTGCCTCAGAGGACAGGTAAAACAAAAACTAGAGAACATAAATCATTAAAAAGGGCTTTAATACATTAGTTTATTTTTATATGTGATATATGTGAGAAAAAAACATTCAGTTAGGGGGCTCTTCTGTTTTCACATCATAGGGATGGCATAACATCACAATTAACTGTAAAGTCTCCACATCCGTTAGGAACTTGATCAAAAGTAAGTTGGTGGGTTTTTTTACAAGGCAGACCTCAATTTCATCCACTACATTCTGGAACTCCAGAATGATCACTTCCTTCATTTGAAAATTAATCTGTTTAATCAAACTTTTTATTTTATAAATAGTGTAGTGGTTCCCTAACATCCCCTAACACCATCTGTTCAAAAACACTCCCAGAATCTAAAATTGTTCATGGTTGCTATCTAAATTTTTGCTTTACCGAATTTCCTGTAACACATTAATTACAAATTATTATTAAAATTGCACCTAATGTATATCGAGTAATTACTGTGAGTGGGCACTGAACCAAATGCTTTGAATGTAGCAGTTCTTTTAATCCTCACAACAACCCTGTAAGTACTATTATTATCCCCATTTTACATATGAAGTAATGGGTACAAATAAGTAATTTTCCAAGATCTTAGTGCCAGCTTTCTGTTTTTACTTGAATCGTTTTGAGGCGAAAGAAAATCTCAAAACACTTGGACAGTGAAAAAATAGCCTGTGTGGTTGTTTTGTTTTGTTTTGTTGATAATTTCAATTGGTCAAATCTCTCATTTAAGAATTCCTTCTTTAAGAAATCACACAGAAAGCCACTCAGCCTCAGTTTACACTTCCAAAATGGAGTGTCACTACCACACAGGCAATCCATCCCAATTTCGAATGCTACTGATTGTTAGGTAATTCTTTCTACTGAGAACACTTTTTCCTCCTCCTAATTTCCACCTGCTGATCCTAGTTCTTCTCTCCAAAGCTTCGCAAAATAAGAATCATCTACCATCTCCACGACAGCAGCCCTTCAAAGTCTGAAGATCCTTGGGCTCTGTAAGAATTCTCTTTGCCAGACTAAACACTGGTTCTCTGTGGACTTCACTCTTTCTTCCATTGAGGCTTTCACCATCTTGATCAGACGTCCGTGGATCTAGTCTAGTTTGTAAACATGCTTTTTATATGAAAAAAGAAGGTGGCTTTTTTTTTTCCTAATGATAAAACTAACACACGTTCCTTATAATTTAGAAATCATGGACATCCATAAAGAAAGCAAATTTTCCATTTTTCTAACAAAGGAAAAGCTATGAAATTAAAGCACAAGGGAGAAAAACCTCTGTACTTCCTTTATCCAGAATAACCACCACCGTTAACATCTCAATATGTGTCTTCTCCATTTTTTAAAATTTAAAGATATTTAACATATTTTTTATAAACTGATATTTTCATTTAATGAAAAGGAATATTTTCATATTTGTGAGAAAGAAGACTCAGCTCATTCTCCTGAGTCAGTCCTTTCTGCATGTGCTCTTTTGTTACCTGATTCCCAAAAGTGGCTGTCAGCCCTGAAGTCCTACTACTCAGCTCCAAGGGGATCAGATTATGGATGGCTTCCCTTGAGTCAAAGGGAACCATTAGCAGATTGTGCATGATTTGGGCATAGGCAACTGTCCCTGGCTCAAAAGCAAGGTAAAATTTTATATTTAGCGAAAAAGAATCTGAGTAGGAATTTAAGGCTATCCTATCTGAATAAATTCACTATCCCCTCAAAAGCACTTTTGTAAGCCTTTTCACTGAAATGTTTACCTCTTCTACCTACCAACCTATGGTTGGTTAGTAATTGGTTCCAAAACCTTTTAACTGGCATGAAATTTAAGAGAAGTATCTTTAAGAAAATGCTTTTTATTAACTGATTATAAAATTAAATACAACATATGTTCAGTTACCTATAAACTACAGTAAGGTACTACTTGAAGCAAAAGGTAGGTACAACCATGTTCCTGATTCCTAATAACTAAAACTTTCTTTCCCTTTAATCCATGTGAATTTTTTCCTATCATCGTCCCCAAATGGGAAAGCCAGGATGATCATGCATTCTCACAACCCCTCCTTTTAACTCCCTCTTAAAAAGCAGCTGGGCAGTTTACAGACACAGAAGTTCTCTTTTTCTTCTGAACTGCTGTCAATGCTGAGGCTTACTTCTTCAGAGCAAGGTCAGGGTCTGTGGCTCCTGACTCAAGCCTCAAGGTATCTCAAGAGCAAAACAAGACAAAAAGCTCCTAGCCTTTAGGGATTACCCTTCTTATTGGTAAGGGTATGAATCCTAGCATATGTTAGCTCTCAACAGTTTACTTTTCTAAACTTGGATGTACTTAAGGGGATACCTTTTTTAAAATATCACGTGTTCTGAACTCAGCCATTTCAACAACAATGCAAAATGACGTCCTCACATCAGCATACTTTTTTCTTTTCAGAATAGGCAGTCTAGCTCCACTGTTACCCAGCACTGGTATGCAGACAGGACACATTAGAACCACATGAGCAGCTTTCTAAAAACAGAGATTCCCAGGCTCAATCTGGAGATATTCACAAGGTCTGAGGTGGGTCTAGGAAATCTTCATTTTTAGAAGTTTTTCAGCTTACTTTGAGAACTACTAGGCTAGCAGAAAGCACTGAAAACAGTAAGAAAACCAGGATTATGGTTCTGGCTTACCCACTGGCCAAAGGGGAGTCACTCTTTATCATTCAGTTACTTTCTTCACTGGTATATTTTAGAGCAATTATAGTAGTCACTATTATATATACTCTAACTTGATCTCCTTTAAAAATATCAGTAACCATGGACTCTGAGAAACAAACTGAAGGTTCTAGAGGGGAGGGGGTGGGGGGATGGATTAGCCTGGTGATGGGTAGTAAAGAGGGCATGTATTGAATGGAGCACTGGGTGTTATACACAAACAATGATGTATTGAATGGAGCACTGGGTGTTATACACAAACAATGAATCATGGAACACTACATCAAAAACTAATGATGTAATGAATGGTGACTAACATAACATAATAAAACTAAAAAAATATGTATCAGTAAACAAGTGGTAGTCTTTTGTATTCCTTCCACTGAAAATTCAAGAATGGCTGATACAGCTATTCAAAATCAGGACAGATGTCTATCTGTTTTCCATTCAGTTGACATCTCCTTACCTCTAGCAAGTTCTCTAGCTCATTGAACAAACAAACATCGATTAAGGCAGTGCATTGAGAATTGCTTAAGATTTCATCAAACGTTCCCATTTGGTTTCTGGATTTATTCCATTGCTTTAGGATTCTTGAGTATTTTTTTTTTTTATTACAAGTCCTCTGCCAACTAAAAATGAGAATATGTTTGTTCTGAGCTTTCCTTTAATCATTCCTTCCAATAATTACTCGCTAAATTCAGCCCCCAAGTAGAATGTAATGCTCACAACTCCATACTGACTCCAAAGCAAGATGCTCGTTCATCCATAGGAAACCTATCTATCTCAAAAACAAGTAAACACTTAATTTTATGTGGCCACAAACTGCAGTACTAACAATCTACTGTTATTTTCTTTGTTGTGGAGACATGTATTATTTAAGCTTTCAAATTATTTAATCTTAAAACTTCAATATTTATTTTAATTAGTTCCTTCTATAAGATGCAGTTAGTATTCAAGCTAAAAGGCATATGTGAGACACTAAAATAAAGGAGAAATAGGACTTAGGTTTGCTTTTGCCTTTTATTTTAAATGGTTTCCTGCAACTTACTGGCTTTAGACGGATGCCCACCCAAATGATTGATTAACATTTTCTACTGGCTCATCTTCCTAGGACAATGTAATATATATGGAGGTCAGATGTTGAGAAATTGACTCATCTAATTTAAATATAACTATTTAAATTGACCATTGAACAACACAGGCTATTGTTCTTCTTTTCCTCTCTTGCTTCACCTCCTACCATAGCTCTTCTCTACTGTGCTTTAAATACCTGAATTCTTTATCATCTCTACTAATGTGGCCCAAAATTCAACTCCATTTTCTCAGTCCTTAAGATTTAGATAAGTTCCACTCAAATCTTTATTACATACCTTCTGGAAGTCCAAAGCCTTCCTCAAAACTTTCCACATTCCCAGGACAGGGGTGGGGGTGGTCATTAACGACTTTCTGACTTTGGTTTCCTTTGGGTCCACTTCCGCTGCTTCTGTTCAGTAACACTTTGACCCAGATGTGAAACACAGTCATTCTCCAGTTTCCTCCAAAGACCTCATCCACAGAGAGCATTTGTGAGCCTTGTAAACTTTCCTGATCAGTTAGGGGTCAAAAGGAAGAATCACATCACACCATATAACACATAACTTAAAGCCCCTTCTTAGCCATAACTTCTGTATTCTCAAAAGTTCTTGAACCCAGCTGTCACCGGGGTTCCTCACTGGCTTTTCACCCGTGCAGTCCCCAGCCTCCTAATACCTTGCTGGCTTCTCCCTTCTTCATCTCCCTTTACTCTACTTTCCTTTCATCTTCCTCTCACAAGAGTAAAAAAACCAAATCCTTCCCTCTGCAGGGCAGCTTAATCAGTCTTAGGTGGCTCCGTGTATTACCAACACCCATACTTCCAGAATCCCAACCTCTACAGCAAGTGGCCTAACAAAATATCTTATCAAACAAAACAGATCCTTTCCAAAGAAGCGTTCTGGAGCCAGCACTGTCAGGATTTTCAATTCCATAAACTTTGTGACCTCTAGGCCTTTTGATGTGTTATTCCCCCACCTACACGTCCTACTCATTCTTTAGAACTCATCTTAGATAGTGATTCCCCCAAGAGTCCTTCCTCCAGAAAAGAATCTTGGTCCTGCAAGGTGCCTAGCAGTATACTATCTATCCTGGACCACTTAAAACCAAGGTCAGATGGTGGGCAGATGCAAATTTGAGCAAAAGACAACAAGAGAGGTGGTTTATTTCTAACTTATCTTTAATATGAGAGAGTAACCTTTTGCAACTTATTGTGGAGATGGTCTCCTTTAGATTTCTCACTTGGCTGATTTCTGTATCCCTCACCCAGAAACCTCCTTAAAACAGAAATAAAATTTGCAAGAATTGGCACTGCCCTAAGGGCAAAAGTGTCTCCTTTGCTTGTTTACCACTCTGGAGTCCTATTTTCTTCTTATGGAGCTCTGGTAACTCTTTCCTGTCTTGTTAACAACTAGTTGCTTTTATAAAAAGATGTTTTTCTTTTCAGTGTTTTTGTTTTTTGTTTTTAAGTCTGTCTTCTCCAGGTAAATCAATAAGGTCAGATAGAAATAGAATCCAACTTCTCCAAGAAAAGTTAATCCAAAGTAATTGATTCCCTTTTTAAGAGTTACATTTCCTTGCTCTCAAAGAAAACTACCTAGTCAATAAATATTTGTTAGGCATCATATGTTTGAAAGACACTATTCTATATCCTGGGGATTCTACAGTGAGTGTGGCAGAGTCCTTATCTACGGTGATTTGTCCTTTTTGCTGTGCTATGGAAACTGTGACGAATCAATGTTCTTTGTTCTCTACAATATTATACTGTTCATCTCTTGGTGACAGATCACCAGTTTATTATAAAAGGATGTAACTCAGAAATAGCTAGATGGAAGAGATGCATAAGGCACGGTATGTGGAAAGGTGCATGGTGCTTCCATGCTCTCTGAGTGTACTAACTCTCCCCCACATCTCCATGTATTCACCAACCAGAAGCTCCCTTTTCAGCACTTTTGGTTGTTTTCACTGGGAAGGATACTCCAAATAATCTAGACTGCCATTACTAGAAACTGGAAGTCATTAAATCTTTGCTAATTAGGAAGCAGATTTTTTTGCCACATGTTCTTAAGTGTTTAACAAGGCCTGCTTCTAAGGAAAAAGCTTTCATTCCTATGTCACAGGCTACAGTCCAGGAAACAAACCATCTCTTTGGCTTCACTCATTCACTCATATATGCACTCATTCAACAGACTCCACTGAGTACTTCCTACAAAGCATGTTTACAACAGTGAACTAGATAGACTCCCTGCCCTCCACTCTCTTGTTAAGAAAGAGCAGAAAAAGTCATCTGAATTACCAGTTTTCAAAATCAGACTAAGGCCTACCAGCCAATTTATGAAATTTCCACATCTCCAGTCCACTAAATGGTACAGTTGTAAGGGATGAGACCGGATTCCTATGAAAGGTAACTGTTGAATGGGGCAACGCTTTTAAAACTTTAGCACATATAACAATCATCTAGAGGGCTTATTATAACAGATTACTGGGGCCCACCCCCAGAAATCCTGATTCCTAGCCCTGAGGGAGAGCCTGAGAATTTATATTTCTAGTAAGTTTTAAGAGATGCTGATATTGTGGTGCCTGGGTCGCTCAGTCAGTTAAGCAGCCAACTCTTGGTTTTGGCTCAGGTCATGATCTCGGGGTTCTGGGACTGAGCCATGTGTCAGGCTCCACGCTTAGCAGGGAGTCTCCTTGAGGATTCCCTCTCTCTCTCCCTCTCCCTCTGCCCCTCACTCCACTTGTGTGCTCTCTTTCTCTCAAATAAATAAATAAATCTTTTAAAAAAAAGAGAGATGCTGATGCTGTTGGTCCACGGTCCACACTTTGAGAACCACTACTAAAGGAGCTCTAGATAAAGCTTAGGAGCAAGGGCTTCTGCTCCTTTACACGACTCTCCACTTTTAAAAATCAAAAGATAATCTCCATGTCCATCAACAGATAAATGGATAAAGAAGATATAATATTTATATACATATAATGGAATATTACTCAGTCATCAATAAGAATGAAATCTTGCAATTTGCAATGACAGCAGTGGAACTAGAGGGTATTATGCTAAGCAAAACAAGTCAGTCAGAGAAAGACAAATATCATATAATTCCACTCAAATGTGGAGTTAAGGAAACAAAACAGAGGGCGCTTGGGTGGCTCAGCGGGTTAAGCGACTGCCTTCGGCTCAGGTCATTATCCTGCAGTTGCAGGGCTCCCTGCTCAGCAGGGAGTCTGCTTTTCCCTCTGACCATCCCCTTTCATGCTCTCTCTCTCTCTCAAATAAATAAATAAAATCTTTTAAAAAAAAAAAGAAACAAAACAAATGAAGATAGGGGAAGGGGAAGGAAAAATTAGATGAAAGCAGAGAGGGAGACTCTATTAACACTGTATGTTAATTAAATTGAATTTATATTAAAAAAAAAAAGCCAATCTCTAGCCAAGACCATTCAATGGGGAAAGACTATTCTTTTCAACAAATAGTGCTGGGACAACTGGATAACCACATGCAAAAGAATGAAGTTGTATCCTTATCTCACACCAAGTATAGAAATTAACAACAAATCAACATGGATCAAAGACCTAAATGTGTAAGAGCTAAAACTATAAAAACTATTAAAAGAAAACATATGGGTAAATCTTCATGATCTTGGATTCAGCAGTATATTCTTGACCCTAAAAGCACAAGAAACAAAACAGAAAATAGATAAACTGGACTTCATCAAAATATCAAGAAAATGAAAAGACAACATAGAGACAAAGTAGGAGAAAATACTTGCAAATCATATAAAGGGACTGGTATCTAGTAGTTTTACACCTCAGTAATAAAAAGAAAGCCCAATTTAAAAATGGCAAAGGATCTGAATAATAGACATTTCTCCAAAGAACATATACAAATGGCCAATAAGCATGTGAAAAGATGTTCAACATCACTAGTCATTAGGAAAATGCAAATCAAAACCACAAAGAGGTACTACTTCACATGCACTGGGAGGGCTGTATGAAAAAAGAGAGGCAGAAAGTAGATTAGTGATTGCTTTGGGCTTGGGTGGGGAAGGGCAAGTGGGAAATGAAAGCTGAAGGGTACAAGGTTTCTTTTTTAGGTGACGAAAATGTTCTAAAATTATTGCGATGATGGTTGTACATATCTGTGAATATACTAAAAACCATTTAACTGTACACTTCAAATGGATGAATTATATGACATATAAATTGTATCTCAATAAAGATGCTTAAAAGAAATCAGCACATGGACTACAACTGTAAACATAATAATAATAATAATCTGTTATTATTTAACAGATTAAGAATTTAACTCAAGAATTTAACCATGTTCTGTCAGCAATCTGGTGATGCCTTTCATATCTGTGTACTGACTTCCTTGTCTAGAGTTTTAAATTACTTTGATGGCAAAAAGTAGGTTTTTAGTGGTAAGAATACCACTTTAAATAGTTTAGCATTGTTCCAAAGGTACTGACTCTTTTGTGGATTCAGTGTAGTTATAATACTACAGTGCAGTGATTCTCAATATTTTTCAAAGATGAGGATCTCTTTGTTTTCCTGTTCATTTTCAAGTTTTTATCTCCCACATATGTGTCATGATTCATTGATTGAAATTGTAAAAAGCCATAATGACCAGAAGCTTTTATGAATTTGATAATGCTTTACAATGAAGTTTCATTTAAGTATGTAATGCCCACATGTATTTGAAAATCGGTAGTGTGGTATTCGTAAGATGTTTTTATTTATTTGGTCTACAGATCATTCTTAGTGAGCTTGTGATTCTGCTGACCCTTGAAATAAAGTTGGCTCCCCCTGTGTCCTACTGCCCCATTATCTGGGCATATCATTATTACTTTCACCTCTTAGGGTTCTCATGAAGATTCAGTGAAATACCATATATTAGGTGCATGATACAGTGCTTGGCATTTAAGTGATCTCCATCTTGCTTTCCCTTTCCTGTGTTACCATCAGCCACTTTTGAATATGGAAACGTTCTGGGGTCTTCTGGGTAGTTTGGTACCAATGGGACAGAGTTTAGGGCAGTGAATAGGGGCAGGAAGGCCGCATCTCTGAGAGGGCAGGTGAGAAGGCATGAAATATCACCTAGAGCAACAGTATCTCTCATAATCTACCCAGCAGGGAGAATTCCGTGTTTTAAAAATGCAACCCAAAAATAATTGTGAAGCTATAGGAACTTTGGTTGTTCGTCTTAGTCTGTTCAGGCTGCTGTAACAAAACAGCATAGATTGGGTGGCTTCTTATAAACAACATTTCCTTCTCACAGTTCTGGAGGCTTGAAGTCCAGGATCCTGCTGCCAGCATAGTCACATTCTGGTGAAAGCCTTCCTCCTGGTTCAGAGCTGGCACCTTCCTGCTGTATCCTCACATGGTGGAAGGGGCTAGCAAGTTCTCTGGGGTCTCTGTTACAAGAGCATTAGTCCCATTCATGAGGGCTCCATTCGACCTAGTCACTGAGTAAAGGCCCCACTTTCTTACACCATCACATCGGGCATTAGGATTTCAACATCTGAATTCTGGGGACAAAAACATTCTGACCATAGCATTCCATGTTGAAATGATTTTCAAAAGTCTCTCTTTTTTCATAGGTATCAGGAATTAAGGGAGTCGCTCCAACAATGTAGACATCGATGGGGTGCTGATAGGGAATATGGTGGGATAATGCCCATTTCACTCCCTGAGGAACACAGGCAAAAATGTGAACCTCCTCATGTCATGGGCAAAGGACATCAGCATTATGGATTTGGTGGAGAAACCTGGCCAAGGTAAGTAAACTTTCTGCCCTTCACACAGAGGTCTTCATTTTTCATTTTTCTTTATTGTTATTATGAGTCCTTTGTTAACTTAAATCTACCTCCAAACTTACATTTTACTGTTTATGGAAAAGACACAGATGGAAAAACCAACTATATAATTTCTAATTGTGAAATCAGAAAAAAAAAATCTGTGTTTATGGATGTCTTTGCTATCCTTAGAGATGTTTAAGTATTGTGGTCAGAAATTTTGATTAATTCCCTTACTAATCACATTTTATCTAAAACCAAATGGGAATATTCCTGAGAGACATTAACTTAAAAATGTTTTTTCTTGAGCAAATAGCTGGCTTAATTTGTACAGATGTTGTTGATTTATGGAACTTTTGATTTCTAATTTGTTCATCAATCTGTACTCATTAGAATCTACTGGGCACCATTTTCAAGTATTAAAATATTGAAGTAATCATTTATAACTTTTAAAGTCACTCTTTCAGCAACTTTATTCAAAATACATTAAAACTGAAGAGAAAGCAAAAAATCTGAGCAGCAAATTAAATGTCACATTATTTACTAAAAATATGAAACTTTAAAAAAAACTGCAAAATTTACTCAAAGTACAAACCTTCACACAGAGCCTACCTACCTACTCCTGCTTTATCTAATAATCCTGCTTACCTAGTTTATAACAATGTAGCTAAAGCAGTTTAAAAAAATAAATTAGGAAAGACAAGCTGTAAGTAGAAAGAGAAACAGCCACATTAATGACATGTGGCAGCCAACCTTAATGAAGCCTCAGTGAAGCAATAAAAAGCAGGCAAACGAAAAGGTCTGTCAGTCCAACTGGAAAGATGCAAATATCAACACATTATAGATAGCAAGGACCTCAAGATCATTCATTCATCCAACACATTTTTTTAAGTCCCCACTCTCATGGAACTTACTTTATAATATAATATAATATAGGTAGCTTTACAATATCTTTGTAAAGAAACTACTGTTATCCTGGTTTTACAATACACGGAGACCTGGAAGATTCAGTGCCTTTCCCTGGATCAGACAACTATGAAGTTCTGGAACAAGGACTAGAGTCCATGTTTCTTTGAGTCCAAAGCCCAAGCAAATTCTTTTCATCTGTCTATTCCATTCACCATTTACTCCAGCTATTCATTTATTCAGTAATCTGAGTACAGCAAGCTTGTTCTAGATGCTAGAGGTATAGCTCCTCATGGAGTTTACATGTATTGTCCTCAAAATTTATGTATTAAAAAAATACACAACATTCTAAAAGGATCAGAATTGTACTCACAGAATCCCAAAGTGCAAAAAGAGAGCCAAAGATGAGTTTCTTAAGGGAAATCCAGTTTGAAATGAGAGGTTTGTGTTTGCTGCCTCACTGAATGCAGCCCTGGGTGGGCCACCAGGAGATGAAGTACTTGTTCCAATAAGAACGCCCATCATCCCGGGCTCAGAAATGCAGGTTCCTGTGTTCCGTTCTCCTCACATCTTTTTACGTCAAATGTTACCATTTCGGCATATTTAACTCTTAAAAATATATTTAGGACACAGTCCTATTTTCTGATACAATGCACATCCCTTGCCAAACAACTACAGAATAGGTTTTACTTGTTTCCTAGTAGGGAGTAACTTCTGTCACAGTATTTTTCTTTTTCCCAAAAAGGGCCTTTTATTTTTTTTTAAAGATTTTGTTTATTTATTCATGAGAGACAGAGAGAGAGAGAGAGAAGCAGAGGGAGAAGCAGGCTCCCAAGAAGCAGGGAGCCCGATGCGGGACTCGATCCCAGGACCCCGGGATCATGACCTGAGCCGAAGGCAGTCGCTTAACCAACTGAGCCACCCAGGCACCCTACATCATTAGTTTTTGATGTAGTGTTCCATGATTCATTGTTTGTGCATAACACCCAGTGCTCCACGCAGAACGTGCCCTCCTTAATACCCATCACCAGGCTAACCCATCCCCCACCCCCTCCCCTCTAGAATCCTCAGTTTGTTTCTCAGAGTCCATCGTCTCTCATGGTTCGTCTCCCCCTCCGATTTACTCCCCTTCATTCTTCCTCTCCTGCTATCTTCTTCTTCTTTTTTTTTCTTAACATATATTGCATTATTTGTTTCAGAAGTACAGATCTGTGATTCAACAGTCTTGCACAATTCACAGCGCTCTCCATAGCACATACCCTCCCCAATGTCTATCACCCAGCCACCCCATCCCTCCCACCCCCCACCACTCCAGCAACACTCAGTTTGTTTCCTGAGATTAAGAATTCCTCATATCAGTGAGGTCATATGATCCATGTCTTTCTCTGACTGACTTATTTCACTCAGCATAACACCCTCCAGTTCCATCCACGTCGTTGCAAATGGCAAGATCTCATTCCTTTTGATGGCTGCATAATATTCCATTGTGTATATATACCACAGCTTCTTTATCCATTCATCTGTCGATGGACATCATGAAGCCTCTATTTTAAAACAGCAAGATCTCAAGAGAGATGAAGTTGTGCATAATGTGTACTCTTCCGGAATACTGTGATGACTTGAGGGAATAAGCAGAAACCCAAGGGTATGGCTACATCCCCAACGGAAAGGAATGAGCCTTACAGAGGACATTTAACAGGATCTTAGACCATAGTGCCCAAGATGCTTGTATCCTATCTGACACAATCTCAGCACTTACTCTCTGCCACCTCCATCCCATCAGGCTAAAGACGTATGGAGACAATAATATTCAGTCATCAAGCTTATAGCACAGAAAGGCAAACTGATTTCAGATGATGGAATCAAGAATTCACTCACACTGTGTCATAGCAAATAGCTGGGTTTAAACAGAGCTGTCCAATTAAACACAGGTAATACGAGAACATATGGTAAGGCAATTTTGTAAACGAGGAAGAAAAAAGAAAAAATATGATATATATGTTATATATGTATAACATATATATTACATATGTACATTTATATATTTTTTAATATATAAAACACATGAAGAAACTAGTCTGAGAAGAAACACAGCCCAGGAAACAAAAGTAGATTCTCTAAAGGACAAAATAAGTACGTGATTCAAATAAAAAAAAAAAAACAAGATGATTAAATGGTAGAACATTATAAAAGGGGAGATCACAGGGCTAAGGGGAAAAATGAGAAAAACAACTACACAAAAGAACTCACAAATCTAGTCCAAAAAGAAGCAGCAAGAAACAGAATAGATGTGACTGAAAATTGATAAGGCAGAGGGGAAAGATAAGGATATTAAAGCAATAAAAATAAAAAGCTATGCTATTAAGAACAAGCATAATTACTTATCATAAGGAAAACTGATGTCCCAAATGTAGATCATCTAACAAGAAAAACAACAAATAATAAGTAAATCCAGCAGAAATAGGTACTCAGAGATACACAAGAAAAGTCCCTTGAAATCAATAACTGAGGGGCGCCTGGGTGGCTCAGCTGGTTAAGCAACTGCCTTCGGCTCAGGTCATGATCCTGGAGTCCCAGGATCGAGTCCCGCATCGGGCTCCCTGCTCAGCAGGGAGTCTGCTTCTCCCTCTGACCCTCCCCCCTCTCGTGCTCATGCTCTCTCTCTCTGTCTCTCTCTCAAATAACTAAATAAAATCTTTAAAAAAAGAAAAAATAAATTAAGAACTGGTTCTGAAAATCAAAAGGATATACCATCCAATGGAAAAAACGGAAGTGGAGCTACTGACATTGAGATACAACCTGGTTACATTATTTTATTCATAAAGGAAGAAGCCTGTGTGCTCAAGGCTACTCACATTCAAATCAAAGTCTAGTACAGATATGGATGAGTGGCAGAACTTAGGGCACACATTTGTACCCTGGTTGCTCAAGAGGCTGGGAAGTAGATTTTCTGGATTCTTCCTAGGCAAATGGGATCTTCAAAATGTGGAAAACTAACAAAATGTAGAGAGGGTGTTATAAAGATGTTAGTCATCTGTGCCAGCCAGCTGACTGCCATGCTAAATAGCAGCAGCCACAACAATAATATGCTTTTCTGTTCAACATGGGGCCCATGGACCAGCAGCATCAAGGAAATGGCGAATGCAAATCTTGGATCCCACCCCAGATTGACTGAGCGAGAATCCGCATTTTAAGAAAATCCCTCGGGTAATTCTAACATGTAGCAAAGTTTGAGAACTGCTGCCAGTGTAAGAAAATGCAAGACTTTTTCATACAAATGAAAATGCACTCACCTCCCCAAGAGGGGAAATCCAGAGTCTCATCAGTTCCTGCATCCAGCTCCAAGTCCAAGATCCCTGGGTGATGTTCTCCTCTCTAGTTCAGTCATAATCTTGTCCTGACAGTCCACAGCTATGCACTTAATGAAGCGAACCATCACCAACACCCTATATAGAGTAATAATGAAATAAGGGAAAAGGGTGAATGAAAAAATAAAACTAGTTAATACATATAAATATAATAAATATGTTACATGTTACATGTTATATTATAATTATATATTATAGTATATAAAAGCATACTATATATAACATAGTTATATATATATATATATATTAATATAGTTATATACATACATCCAAGTTTCCTTGCCCTCAGCCAGCACCTGAGCTGGTAGGAGTTCATTACCTGGTGGAATGCCCCCAATTTTCTTCCTGAGAGATCTAGCAATTAGTGGTTCTGCCTGTGGGAGGCCGTTCCAGTATGCCATTAACTTTATGCCACTAGAAGCAATACCAGGAGGTGTCTAAAAGATTCTTTAGATTCTAGAAATACTCCTTTTCCCCATCATTGCATAACAGCAATCCTCTTACCCTTGACATTCAGGATCAATCATCCCAATCTACTTGGTATAATCCCTCCTTGCCTGTTTCCCCCAATCATAAGGAGCCCCAATTACCACATCATCAGTTCAGCTTCCAATTCAATGGGACCGTTGTGTTTCCCGATGAAGAATTTCTCCCTTGACCTAAAACCAGCAAAACTCAAGGTGGCTAGGAAGGAAGTAAAATTTCTCTCAAGTGTAATAGTAAGTATAACAGTGAGAGGTACCACTCCCACTTTCACCCTTCATTTCTTAGACCATCCATTCTGGCTATGGGAGAAACCATTTATTGGTCACCAGTTCAGAGCATGTGCCATACTCCTGGGGACAAGCTTCAGCCACAAATGAATCTTCACTAGGCTGGTCTACATTCTGTAAATAGGATAAGACCAGTGAGTCCTTTAAATTCAATCAGTGCCTTATTTCTTTGGTGGTAAACTGAGTTCCTTAGTCAAAAGTATTATTTTTTAAGATGGCATGCAATGAAGAAGGTATTCAGAAGTCCACTGGTGATGTACTGACAGAAGTATAGTGAGAAGGAAAAGGAAATGTCTCCTTTGGTATGTCTCCTTTCCCACATTTTGTTACACAATTACATAATTATATATGTACCCATTGAAAATATATGTATTATATTGTTTATGTGTGGAATCACTGGATATATAGTAGTAGGCAACTTGGTTTTTTTTTTCTCTCTATAATCTAGAGACTGTAAACACGGATCTATTTTATTTTATTTTATTTTATTTTATTTTATTTTATTCATTTGAGAGAGAGCGCAAGAGAGAGAGAAAGCACAAGCAGAGGGAGGAGGGGCAGAGAGAGAGAGAGGAACAAGCATGCTCCCCACTGAGCAGGGAGCCCGACACGGGGCTCGATACCAGGACCCTGGGATCATGACCTGAGCCAAAGGCAGATGCTTTACCAACTGATTCACCCAGGTGCCCCAACACAGATCTATTTAATTCTTTTTAATTTCTCTTTGTGTTCCACAATATCGATGCATCATAGACTATTTAGCCATTTTCATATTGTTTCCTCTTCTTCTTGGCATTAACTATATGTAACAAATATTCTTGTACAGGCCTCCTTGAGTTCATGCAAAATGTTTCTCTAGGGAAAATCCTTAGTGAAAGTTATGGGTCACAATATATGAATATTTTCAATTTTAGAAATATAGCCCAAATGCTTTATATTCTCGTGGTGGTAAGTAAAAGTATCCATTTCCCTCATACTCTTGGACAACTATGTTATATTATCAAACCATAATTTTTGCCCATCTAATATGTATAAAGGTTACCTTCGTTATCAGAATGCATTTCTCTGGTTGAGTACTTATGTTTGGTTTCTTATGTATGGTCATTTACATTCCCTTTTCTGTCTTATTCTTTGCCCATTTTTATTGTCTTTTTAGGTATGGATTCTTATTATGTTCTAGATATTAATCCTTTACATATCTTTATTACAAAAATTTCTTCCAAACTTTATCTGAGCTTTTTTATTCCATCTTATCTTCAAAAGTTTTTCTTCTGATGTTATCAAATTCCTTTTGGATTTGGATTTTAAAAGAAAAATCTAATTTAAAATGTTTTCCCCACATGGGGCGCCTGGGTGGCTCAGTCGGTTAAGCATTGGACTCTTGATTTCAGCTCAGGTTATGATCTCAGGGTTGTGAGATTGAGCCTGCATTGGACTCTGCCCTGGACATGCAGCCTGCTTAACATTCTCTCTCCTTCTCCCCATCACCTCCCCTCTTTCTCCCTTAAAAAGAAAAAAAAAAAGTTTTCCGCACCACAAAGAAAAAAACATATTCTTGTATATTTTCTTTTAATATTTGTATGTTTTTCCCAATTCTTTAGATTTTTAATCCATCTGAAATTATCTTTATGCATAGTATGAAATAGAAATCTACTCTTTTTCAAATGGCTAGTGAATTTTTCCTGCATTGTTTATTGAAAAGTAAATTCTTTTCCACTGATTTAAAATGCCACCTTTTTTCATATACTGAATTTCCCATATATACATGGTTGTATTAGCCTATTTGTCTTTTACTATCTGATCATCACTATGTTAATTTGAAAAGATGTTCAATTTAATCTTTTCTTTTCAGAAAACTTCCTATTGAACAATTCTATTATTTGACGCAGAATAAAAAAAGTGGCATCTATGGAAATGATTCTTTGTAAGTTTGGGGTTTCTTTTCCTTATATTGGACCAAATAATGTTTTTAAGTGAAAATGAGTTATATAAGAAATAAAAAAGCCCCAAAATGGGATCGTTCAGAAAAAGTGTTTTTTTTTAACAGAGATCATTAATAATAGAAGCCAAGACCAAAGAAACAGAAATAAAATAAACCAAAACCCACTAAGACTTTGTGGCATTTAACAAGAAAAAAAATACAAAATATGGAATAGTAATGTTTGAAAGAATTCACACAAGTCATCTGGGTCCATTCCTCTGCTTTTGACCTAACTATCTAATAAGAATCTGTTAAATTTCTTTAAAGATTCATAGGAAATGCCCCAGCGCCCTCAGCAAAATTTTTCATCAGGAGCTTATGAGGACAGAGGTTAATTATGACAATCTACAAATAATTTGTAATAAAATTACTCCCTAAGTCTCCTTTTTGGATAAGGAATACTTTTTAATTTATCCTTTGCTTAGAGGAAGTATTTTCCAGTATATGAAATTATTTTTTCCTCTTTTAAATAGTTTGGTATATATATTACAAAAGCATACTTTTTAATTTTCAGATAAAAATAAAACACTGACAATCCTAAAGTAACAATGAAAATATCACTTCTTTAACTATTAGAACCGTTAGGAAAGTTTACAGGAAGGAAGTTAATATGGAGTTCAGCCACAAGAGGGAGCCAAAAAGACATGAATTTTGTGGTTGCTAGGCTCTGTTGATTCCTTTGGGATCAGTAAACTTTGAAAAGTAAATGTAGAATGCAGCAGTAAAATAATGGACTGGTTCAAATCAAGGAACTAGTGTCTGAGCATTTTTAATTTTTATTCAACCTTTCAAACTTTTAATTTTTAAAAAAGCTTTCCTTTAAATTTTTTTTTCCATTTTGAATCAGAATGCATTTTAGGTATACACTTGTCAATATCATAGCTAAATTTGTCGCATAAGAAAAATTTTAGATGCTGATTTAACCTATTTAATGTTTCATAGCCAACTCAAGACCCCTTGGATTCTTCATATTCATTGCCCCCTCCTTTCCCAACTCAACCACAAATATAACTGTAAGACATGTTTTGGGTCTTTTTTTTTTTTTTTTTTTTAGTTCCAAGCCTACAAACCTGGAGTCCAAATAAAGAAAGATATAAACCTCTTAAAATTAATGTGGATTATGTATTTATAATACACTGTAGACTCAAAAAATTATATAGCTTATGTACCACTTTCTAAATAAACATACAAATATTGAATAGTATATTCCATTTTATGGATCTTTGCTATCAACAGATAACACTGTATTCATTTTTCATGCCCGAAATACTTCAGAAATATCCTCATAGGCTGAAACTAAGTGTTGAATCCAGTAAAAGCAGGTGACAGTCCTTCTCTAGTGTGGACTTTCTTCCTGGGCTTCAGTATTATTTCTTGGCAGGCAGGGCTCAGAGTAATTAGTAAACACACAACTTTCAAATGAACTGATTCAGAAAAGACATGCCTCCAGGAACTTGTTCAGTTTTGTTCTAGCCTTTCTGTCAACTGGGCAATATTTACTATCATGAGAGATCAGCAATCCTGGGCAAAAGGACAAAGCACACAAAGTACACACAGTACTTATATATCTTGTCCACCAGGCCACACTCAGGTCACTTTAGGTCATGTAATTGTACCCATACATGGTGTCAGGCTGCCTCCAAGCACTCTGGCAATTGCCTGATTATGAGGGTGAATGTCAATAAGAAGCAGAACCATATTATCATTAGAAGCAGTCAGTCCTGCACCTGCACTGCAAGTAGGAAATGCAAAATGAGTGCCGAGTGGGACTGAAGTCAGATGGATCAAAAGAACTGAGACATAAGGATATCATATCTCTCTGGTCAATATTCAGTGTTCCAGAAAGTCAATCAACAATATTAAAGACACTGTAGTTTGAAAATGGGATACATCATTATTCTTAAGCAAATTTCCAATAGGAATGTATGCTTTAAAAAGTTCTTAATATAAATTAGGATTTATTTCCTGTTTTTATTCTAGGATGCCCAAACCACCTAATTCAACAGTAGGGTAAGTATATACTTACATTTTCCTTCCCTGTTACAATCAAGAAAAAAATATTGGCAATCCATATGTCTCAGACAGTGTGAGGATAAATGTGCCTTTTCATGAAAGATTTTTTTTTTTAACAAGTGGGAGAAGAGGCTGGTATTATATACCCTGCTAACCTTTTTTTAATAAACTTTTTAATTTAGTACAGTTTAAATTTACAGAATTATTTGAAAAATAGTACAGAAGTTCCTACAGACCTCATACCCAGTTTCCCTATTAACAACATCTTATATTAGTATGGTATATTTGTCACAATTCATGAGCCAATATTGTTGCATTGCTATTAACTAAAATCCTACTTTAGTCAGTTTTTTTTAACAAAAATAACCTTTATAATATATACAAGTTATTGAATGAAATCTCGTATTATAGACTAAAGACACACAGAGTCCATAGCTTGCAGGTCTTAAAGTATGTTTTGCTAAATCATTACCAGATATAACTCAATACTATTAACTAAGAAATAGTTTCTAGAATCTTAGGGGAAAGAATTTCTGCCTTAATCCCAAATGATCAGAAATTAATCAGGGCCTCTCCCTGCCTTCCTAACTTCTACCTTTTATCCCTTCTTCACAAAGCCAAAACCCTGGCTACAGACAAAACCAGAAGGACCCAATAACGATGTATACACATTTTGCAAATTGACTTTCTATCAAGAGGACTAATCCCCAGGAAAAAAAAATGGCTTATGAAATTTTTGTGGTTCTTTTTTTGTAATTTAACATGATCTTGGTCTTTAGAATTAATTAAGAAGTCAATCTCTACTTTCTGGTCATGGCTTTGTGATGAGAACAAGATACAATGAAAACCAAGGTAATGGCCTTTGTCAGGAAGTCCTTACCAACATCAGATTAGTAGAAAATGGGGCCACCCTGCCCTGGCCTCTGAGAGCATGCTAGCATTTATTTAACTTGTTGAATGATCCTCTGATAAAGATTAGAAATAAAGCAGTTAGCACAAGGCCTGGCACATAAATGCTTTATTGTTGTTTTTGTAGTAGTTATTGATGGGAGTTAAAAATATTTCAAGGCAATGTCCTCTGAGTACAATTCCTATTCATACAGTAGTTACGATGTCTCAGGACCTCCCACATTACCCAGAGATATTCTGTAGGGACAGTGTACAAATGTGACCATTTTGTGAAATATTCATACCACATTTCCTTAAACTTCATCAAGTCTGTGGGAAATGGTACTGGAAGTTTAAAAATTAATCCCTCATTGATTCCCGATTCCCCATTCCCACTAATTCTTCCATCTTTGGTCAACCTGACACATACTGGGAAAAAAATCCAAGAGAATCAGGATGAATCTTCTTCCCAGATAAGTTAATTAGCACATATTGAGACAATGATTACACTCCATTTACTCAGCCATTCTTTCCAGTACGTTTTGTTACTAAATGCTTCTGACTGTTGGACAATATTTGAACCCCAGCATTTCTCATTTCATTCTTCACTGTCCCTGGGGTCTCTTATCTTTCGTGCCCAGGTCCCCTGCTTCCTGACCACTCCACCTGCAGTCCCCCAAGGCTGTGAATGTCTAAGAACTTCCCCTGGAACATGGGCTTTTTACTAGACCTCAGTGAACTCCATCCTTTCCTTAGACTGGATGCTCTCTCCACGAGCAAAAATGTGTTCATTCCTGTTTTATTCACACAAATAGTTTGCTCAAACAATAAATGATCACTTATTTTCAAGCTGATATGTAAGGGGAAGTGAATTTGAGAGGGATAGTTAACTAGAGAACCCACCAAATCAGACAATGAAAATATTTATTTAGAATAAATGGTAATCATTGTGTCTTCTATAAAATGAAGTACAGCCAGCATTGCTTCACGAAAAGCAGTTACTAGGCTAGTGTTTTTATGACTACGAGGGACATGAGTTAGTTAGAACTGAGGAATGAAAGTCTTGATTCTATGTTCTCATGTCATCACAGAGTTGACAACCTTGTGCCTTGTACCAAGCCATGTAGTAGCTGATGTGGTGCTTTTTAAGCAAAGTAAATAAAACAGAAAAGTGCTTAGTGATTCACAATAAAATGATGCTACACCCAAGGCAAAAATGTGCTCAACTGAGAGAATTTGTGACAAGGGCAAGAAAACCAAATCACTTTCCACAAAAACAGAAAGAACTAGCTGGCCTCATAAATGACTTTTGCTTGGAGTCAACTTTCTCTCTTACAAATCAAACTTAACTTCTTGTGGTATCTAGGAGAGACCAGAAACTTGTTAAAATCTTATACTGCTAGGTATTTCAGAGGCCCATCGAGGTGCCAAGACTGCTGAATTCAGTACAGCTTTGCATCAGTGAGCCAAGTAAGCAAGCATTAGGGACCCAGATCTGAGCCAGCTATCACAATTTTTTTAAACCTCTGCTATTTCTTTTAAGAACTCTGCTAGCTTTTCAAATCATAGGAAAATTTTATCCCTGTGGGTTACTTGTTTCTTTTCCCATCAGTATACTAGTTTTTTTTATTTCTAAACAGTACTGTGTACTCTAAACAGGCAGTATATTTTTGTTGACTGACTGCTTAAAAGAACCAGACGGCCTGGATTGAAAGTTCAATGCAAGATGGTGAGAGATCACTTCGCATACTGAATGCCCAAAATGATCCCATAAAATAAAGTACTGGGATCCTCTTAAAACAAGAGGCAGGAATTGAAAGCAACTAGAAATTCTTCTTATAGCATTCTAAAAACTACAAATTTCATGTATCTTCTGCATTAGTTGTGAAAGTTATTCCCTGATAAAGAATTCAGTATGATTTATTTTAAAAATTAATTTGTCTAGCAAAATTAAGAAAATCTCATGTTTAATGGAATATATTCCACCAGAAAGCTAAATCCATGAGTCTAGGGACTTTGGCTCACCGTCATATCCTCAGGGATTAGAACAGTACCTGCTACAAAGAAGGATCCCAATAAATAACCGATGATTAATTTTTTTCAATTGCACTTCTTTCTATTCTATTTTGTTTGCTCAACTAAATCTCAGAGAAATCTGTTGCTCATATCCGATTGAACACCCATACCACACACACATCTCCCGCGGTGCCATGTTCCCGACCTTTACATCACCTAAGGATCTCTACACAGGCATTAAAGCCCGAAGCCAACAGCCATTTCCTCCCACTGTGCCAACGAAGGCTTATGATACAATGATTTTGAAAACAAGAGGTAAAATGTGATTTGATATAAGAATATTGATTCTTCTCATATTTGAATTACCTAGAGAAAAGGTAACTGAAGGTGACAGAACAGGTGCATGGTTGGCAGAGAAAAACACTTGTTGAACAAATTTAGGCTGTGAGGAAGGTAAGACCCAAGAACTGTCCTATAATGCGGTTCCTCTGTACATAAATATTGAGGCCCAAATGTTTGCCATCATCAGTATCAGCTTCAGTACCTTATTAGGAGATAGTAGCATTTTGAGAGACAGAATAGTGGAGTGTTTAAGAGCTATGGAGTCAGACTGCATGGGTAGAATTCTAGCTCTGCCACTTACCATGGACCATACCAAAGTCTCTCTTAGAGGACTTTAGAAAGATGAGTATATTGTAATAACCCTTATAAAAGACCTTTCCAAAAACTACTATTGCATTAGGTTTTCTACTCTTTTTTCACACTTACCTTAACTCTTCTTTAATAGAAATCAATACTATATGGATTAAGAGTGCAGGCCCTAGTACCAAACTGCCTGAGTCTGAATTGCTCCACTTACCAGCTGTGTGCTCTCAGGCAAACTGCTTTTCTTTGTGCCTCAGTTTCATTTGTTAAAGTGGAAGTAATAGTACCTTCCTCATAATAATGTGATGATAGATATAAAATACTTAGTACAGTACTGGCACATGGTAAATGTTCACTAAATGCCAACCTTCACTCTTATTACCCCTGAAGATGGATTTTAATGTGGACCTTACTATAGGACCAGAGGAGGCCATGCTGTGTTTGATAAAGCTTATCAAACTACCACTAATACCTAAGAAGCTAGAGTCTTTAAAATGTTCTCTTTCAATACCTTTTTGGTAAGCAAGTACTAATTCTATGTCTTGATATTTGGTCAGGGAAAGCCCAAATCAGGTGATATAGAAATGTATTTGCTAAGCGTTCAGAAACCAGAAAGAGGATCCAGGAAAACTTAAATTTAAAAGTTACAACTTACCTACAAATCCCTTTCATTAATCAGAGAGGTGCAGTACAGGGCTCTCTCATGCTGCGGGCCGCACCTCGGGTTAGATAGTCTCACTGTGTGTGGCCATGTGCTGCTCATTAAGGGGAGCAAGAATTCAAACACAGCTATTAACAGTAGCTCAAACAGTAGCTTATTAACAGTAGCACCTGCATTGCTCTCTACCTCCTATCATCTAGTTTCTATCCACTGCACCCCCAAAACCCCATTCATAGAAAACTGTTCTTGAATATTCGGGATAACAGCGCTCTTCCTGAAAAATTTCAGGTAATCCTTACAGATATGAACTGCTTGATCTTCCAATGGATTCAAAGAAGAAAGCCTTGATTTGGCCAGGCCAGGATATATATTATGATGTAAGTATCTTTTAAAATGTGTGTTTAAAACAAAGTAAAAAAATGTTTTTACTGTATACATTTATAAAAACCCAAAAGATGGATTCTTTTGTTTTCTATCTGGTTAAAAAACTTGAGATTTTGACCATGATTCACATTTTTTGTTTTCTTAGCTGATTTCACAAACCTTGGGCAGTTATGTAACATTTCCACGATTACACTAAAAGGTTCCCCACTGAAAGAAGGTGGAGGGTTGCGTTTCACTCACTGTGTATCCCCAACTATATTCTTAAAATTAATAGTATATTAAGTAACTCCAAATATACAGAGTAAATGAAAATTTTTCAGAAAGATTTACAATTTATTGTCCCAACCATTGTATTTGTATAGAATCAAAAATAAAACAATGGCCACTGTGCACTGAGCAACTGCTACACACTAAGCACTTTAGATACAGTAGATCACTTAGCCCTTATAATAACTCCAAAAGGTTAGTATCATCATTCTCATTTCTGAGACTCAAGAGAGTCTGTGGCTACCTTATAATCATAGCATTCAAGCTTGTCAGGCTCCAGTCTCTGCTCTTAACCTCTGTACCAGGACTCCACATAGATAGGAAGAAAAATTTTAAATCATGAAGGAAAAGAACCACACATTTGAAAATTGTAACAGCTGACATTCATTGACCAATTAGTTTGTGAGAGGCAGTGGCAAGCGTTTTCCATATATTATCCTCTTGCATCTACGAATCTATGAGGTAGGCAAGAAATAATTATGCAAGGCTAGAAACATATGAATTTTACTTGGGATGACCACTGTGGCAAGCCGGAGTGTGGTCCCTGCAGTGTCACGTGGTCATCTCCAAAGGAAGCAATTTTGTGTTTGTTCTTTGTAAAGTTACACATCAAGAAAAATCCTTAAAGAATCATTTATCTTACTGGACCTTTTTCATTCTTTCAAGCAAAATCTATATCAAAGCAACCCAGAAATATGAGAAGTTATTCTCGAGACCATTCCATCATTACACATTATAGCCGAAGTCTTCAGCTCTGTGGCTCAGTTTCTTCTTTCAATCTCCCTCCCTTCGTCCTGCTCAGGAAAACGCTGGTGTCCCCATATCTCACCCCTTTGCAAAAATCTTGACTAGCTCCCCTTTACCTAAGTGTAAATCCCAAGGTTTTAACTGAGCTCTGAAAACCCTTCAGAGTCTGGCCTTCCTTACTTCCTACAGCCTGGCTCAGCTCACTGGTCCTTGAACAGGTGGACGGCCATGTCCCACTCCCGGAGTGCTCTCCTTTCACGGCCTCTCTGCCTATCTCAAACCGGCTCGTTCCTCAAGCCTCAGCTCAACTCTAATTCTCTGCGCTACAGAGCAGAAAGTGAACCAAATCAGGAGACCTGTGTTCTAGTTATTCCTATATCTGCCATCTGTTCTCTTGGTGATATGAGAGATATTGTTTCTCTTCTCTGAGCTTTGACTAATAAAATGTACCTATAGGATTTCAGTAAAATCTGTCCTATAAACTTCACAGGATATGAGGATATGAAAGATATAAAAGCACTTTGAAAAATAGAAAGTGCTATAATTTATAAGTGTTATTACTCCAATAGAAATTATTTCCCCTCTTCTGACTTTCTATAACACTCACTATAACCAATAACTTTTCACATGTATTTTATATCTCGTCAACTAAATCACAAGCTCTTTAAAAATGGAATATTTTATAATATGTATATTCCCCACAGCACTTTGTACTTAAATATTTTTGACTGATTATCTGACTCTTCTTCCAATGATCAATCTTTCTTAATCTGTTCTAATCTTTTCAACTTTTCAATTATTCTTCTGGTTTATCCCTAATTCTAATCAAGTTTTGCACTTTGCTGGACAAAAAAAATAAAAATAAAATTGATACTGAGCTTGATGGGAGTATCTCATGACTCATCTCCCTCCACCCCACCCCCGCTCAGGATAATACCTATACTTGTCCTCCCCTGCCTTTTACCACTTCACCGGGGGAAGTGGCCAACCTTATCTGTCATGTTCTATTTTTGTTAAAGGAGAATATTTTTATAGTACTTACCTTTCCTATTGCTGGAACAGTGGTTCTCAACCTTGGCTGCATATTAGAATCACCTGGGGTGCTTTTAGAAATCCCAATTCTCAGGCTGTACCCCACCCACATCATAACTGATGACATAATTATAATCATCATTCTCTGAGGGTAGGAGGAGATGGAGGGACACAAATAAGTAGGTCCAAAAATATATCTCCTGGCTACAGAACAGAAAACCCAGAAGCCAGATTTTAGTAGTTTCTATCCAAGCCAATAAGACAACATGTGTAACATTTGGAAAGAGTATAAATTTTAAGGTGGCACAGCTCCTGGCTCTAATATTTATCAATTGTATGGCTCTGAATAATATATTGAACCCATTAATACCTCAAGTTCCTCATAGATAAAACAGCAGTTATAATGCACTCTACCTCATAGGGTTGTCTTGAGAATGAAATGCATGTAAGAGCACTCAGCACCATATTAGCAGACAGAAAGCTTAGAGTTAAGTGTTAGCTTCTGCCAGTGCTATTATTCCAATAATTATAGCACTTTGTCGACCTAGAAGATTAAGAAATGGGTAGGGGTGCCTGGGTGGCTCAGTCATTACGCGTCTGCCTTCGGCTCAGGTCATGATCCCAGGGTCCTGGGATCGAGCCCCGCATCGGGCTCCCTGCTCCGCGGGAAGCCTGCTTCTCCCTCCCCCACTCCCCCTGCTTGTGTTCCCTCTCTCGCTGTGTCTCTCTGTCAAATAAATAAATAAAATCTTTAAAAAAAGAGAGAAAGAAAGAAAGAAATGGGTAGTCTTAGAAAGGGGAATATTCTTTAAAAAAATTTAACCTTTTCAGTTCTGGGCCTTAATTTTAACAGTATTATAACCTCATTTTGCTCCCATCCTTTTACTCAGGCATCGCAAAATTCCAGGTGCCTCTTCCCACCCCGGCCCCAGAGCTGTCCTCCCTTCTTGCCTCTTTGGCCTGGTCCAGTTTTCCCCACCAGGGCCGCTGACCATTGCGCTGCCCTCACCTTAGCCAAGACCTCTCCTCCGAACCACTCTCTTTCCTTGGTGACCTCTTCCCACTGGCCATTTCTAGCCATCACCAAGCCAGTCAGAACATTCCTTTTCCTCTTATAACTGGCAAACAAATAGGTTAAAATATTTGACTCTTCTGGACTGTTTTTGTCATTACTTCCTCAAATGGCCGAAGATTTTTGTTCTATTTCTCAAGAACTCAAGCGTCTGGTCTTAGCTTTTGCAATACAAAAATATTCTTTAGGATAAAATCTACCATGGAATCATCTTTTTTTTTTTTTTGAGATGGGGGAGGGGCAGAGGAAGAGAGGGAGAGAAAATCTTAAGCAGACTCCATGCTCAGCTCAGAATCCAATGCAGGGGCTCAATCTCACGACCCTGAGATCATAACCTGAGCCAAAATCAAGAGTCAGACATTCAACCAACTGAGCCACACAGGCGTCCCTTGTAATCATCTTTTGAGTAAGATGAGATATAATAACCACAGAGGTCAAGTGCCATAAACCTCTCTAACCTTTGCCTATTTGAAATATTTTAACAAACCATTTTCAAAGCCAAACTGAGCCTACTATCCAATTTTCCTTAACTGTAAATATTTGGAAAGACCTTTGGCTTCCCTTGTAAAGAGCATCCACTCATATCACCCTTACAGAGGAGTGTGGTTTCCTTCCTGAACCATCTTGCCACCTTTCTAATCTGAAGTGCCCATGCCCCTCCTAGAGATACATTCCTCATTCCTAGGACAGTTCTGTCTCTCCACCAGAACACCCATAATCCACACTCATCCTCCAGTAACCACAATGGATTTGGCAAGGACACAGGTACGTCCTTCAGGAATGTGTCCCCAAATAACTGGCTGCCCACAGTTCACCTCTCCATCACCACCAGCACGCTAGGCCCCATCCTCCCACCTGCTCATTTCCAGCAACAACCAATGTATCCAGAATGTGAAATAAACTGGTAGGCTCTCTCTTCTCTACCCTGCATGCTTCCCCATTTATGGTCTTGCCCCTCCCCTCCACTTTTCCTCCTCCATCTCAGGCAGCCTTTCCTCCCATTGTGCATGCTCTTCTCCCTTCAACTCTCTCTTCCCAAGTCCTAGCTAGATACCAAAGGAAAATATATCTCTGCCAGTCTCTCATCTCTTATTTACAAACACTCTCTCTATTCATTTCATATGTAAATGAAAAAATTCCTAATCACAACTTCTTATGTAAAAATGATGCTGATAACAAAAGAATTAAGTGAAACATGATCCACTAAGGAACCACCGTACCCAGTATTAAGCTCTCCAAAGGGCAAAGTGGTCTCCAAAATAAACCTGTTCTTGTTCCCCTATTAAGCCTGGTTAAGCACCATCATTCAAGACTAAGAACAAAAAACTATACTTAATTTCTTGGTTTTTTTTAATGTGTTACAATAGTATTAATTTCTGTTATTTTGTGGCAACTAACGGAATTTGGGTGCTTACCACAGGCCCTTAGAAGCTTGCACATAGTTGTGCATGTAACAAGTATTCAGTAAATGTTTATGAAGCAATTTATGAATTACATAAATTTTATGGGCTACTGGGGAATGTAACTACAATTTATATGGCCCTACTCCTCTGAAAATGTATTCCCAATTTAAAACAACTAACATCATTCCTTTGTAGACTGGAGTATCTGCCTAGATACTGACATCTCAGGAACCAGAATCCCTTCCTGCTTTTGTACTTATCTTGCATATATTGACACAAACTTCACCTTGTGAATAGTACATTTAACTAATTAATTCCTATTGAGTGGATGATCACCAGCAGCCCCTCTCTCACTATCCTCTCAGAATACCATTAGCTTATTAACATACTGAAAATTGGTGAGCTCTCTACTCTCAAATATTCCTGACTCTTTAAACTCTTCTCAAGAGGGGGCGCCTGGGTGGCTCAGACATTAAGCGTCTGCCTTCGGCTCAGGTCATGATCCCAGGGTCCTGGGATCGAGCCCCACATCGGGCTCCCTGCTCCGCGGGAAGCCTGCTTCTCCCTCTCCCACTCCCCCTGCTTGTGTTCCCTCTCTCGCTGCGTCTCTCTGTCAAATAAATAAATAAAATCTTTTAAAAAAAAAATAAAAATAATAAACTCTTCTCAAGATACCACAGGTTACAGTAAAATCTCACATCCCCTATTTTCTTCCTCTGCGCCCTTGCCTGCCATTTCAGTAGATCATTGCTGTTATTTAAACTAGATTAAGACACAGGATTAGTCCAGCCCCTTGGAACAATATTTGAAAAAAAGTCCTTATTTCTAAGCTGGCTTTGCAAATCATGATAAAAAGAACAAAGAATAAGCAAGCCACATATTCGTTAAAGGTTTATAGACGTGGTTACTTAATACTTGATAGTCTTCTGTCAAGTGCCTTTTACCATGACTATTCCATACATGGAAAATGGGGATCATTCCAACTTCACAGTGTTGCTATAATCAGCATCACCCTTAGATCCAGGAACTTTAGAAGGTCCCATGCCTTTCTGCCCAGCTCTGGCCTTCCTCTGGCTAGACCCTTCCCTATGGCACAGGATGTTTGTGGGAACAAGAGGCTATATCTATCAAGAGCCCATGCTCCCCAGTCTCCCACCCCAGCCTGATGCTGGACTGCAGAAATCCTTGACAAAATGGCTTTGAACTCAGTTCATGGGGTCTCTTCCTCAGGTCCATCCTCCCAGGGGTTGACACTGCTTCCAAGCTAGTATATACCTCTAGGTCAAAGGGGTGGCCAAGTGATGGCTGTTTGCTGGAAACAGAGATAATAGGTATAACGGAGCTTGAACCTGAGGGCCAGGGTACCCTCATATCCAAGACACTTCATAATTTGGGATGGAATTGGGGGTAGGAAGAAAGTAGTAAGGGATGCTGAGGCCAAGGGCCAGCAACTAGCTCTTTCTGAACTACCATGTCCCAATATGCAATTAGGATAGTCTAAGAAGTCTAAATTTGAACTTGGTCTTCCAAGCTGTCATGAAGGTATTCTGTCAAGGTAGGAGAAAGGAACACACTTTATTTCTTTAACAGCTTATTTGCTTCATTTATAAATTAAACTAGTTAGACTAGTGGAATGTGGGCTCTCACTATACTCTAGCCCCAAAATCTGCAAATGTTAAGGGTGAGCCTGACTGTCAGGACAAGTGCATAGTGTTCAAGAAAGTTAATCCCATACTTTCCACCGCCATCCATACCTCTGCTCTTACTGTTCCTTCGGCTTCCCCAACTCTGCATGTCCTCAAAGGCCTATTTCTGTAATATGACATAACATGGTCTCTTGTCTCCCCCCTTCCTCTCTGATCCCAGCCCTACTTCCCTGTTCAGCTGGAATCAATCTCTTCCTCCCCTGAATTTACAAATAATTCTTTCTTCTTTTTTTTTTAACAAATAATTCTTTCTTAACTTCTTTTATAACAAAGAGTTACTTTCCATCTTATAGTCATTTATGTTCATGCCTTATCTCCCCTCTAGTCAATATTCCTGGATGACTTGTTTCTGAGCCATCCTTGTTCCCTACTACTACCTTGCACATATAGGTACTCAGTAAATATTTATTGAGTGTCATCAACCTGAGAAAAAGTGAATTTCTAAACTGCCAAAAAGCCTGTAATGAAACTCATTCATTCATTTACTTTTATACCTCCTTTTGAAAATACAAAATAAACTCCATAGTAAATAGTTATGTCAACAGAATAAAAACTTTTATTTGAATTTGAGTGACTTAAACTTCATCAGAAATCAATAAAATGGGGGCGCCTGGATGGCTCATTTGGTTAAGGATCAGACTCTTGATTGCGGCTCAAGTCATGATCTCAAGGTCATGACTGAGCAGTGTCGGGCTCTGCCCTGGACGTGGAGTCTGCTTAAGATTCTATCTCTCTCCCTCTCCTCATTCCCTTCTCCCCTTCTCTTTAAAAAAAAAAAAAAGAAAGAAATCCATAAAATATATCAAATGGTGCCACTTCAGGCAAGGAAAGAGAAGTGGGAGGCACAGAACTTTTGTACTTAGCCAAAGGAATACCTCAGAGCCCTTTATGTCTCTAATAAAAGGTTACTGGAGGCAGAGTATTCCCAGGGACATTTCTCCAATGTACATTATCAGACAGCGTCCTTACTAAAGCAAAAAACTTTCAGAAAAGACCTCACCATTCCTTTGGTAAAATATTGTTTAACTCTATATATGGTTACGTTGCAGAATGATAGTAATTAATGAAGAAAAAAATAAGTATCCGACTTCAGCTTGGAATTTCCTTTACCCTCCTTCCTGCTGACATAGTGAATCAGCCCTTATTCTACTAGATAACATTAACGATAATAAACTTATGTTCATGTTCTAGTTTCCTAAATGCGTTGAGAGAAACAAGCCCGTATTCTACCCAAAACCTCCTAAAACCTTCGCTCCTAACACTTCTTTAAATTCCTGGGACCCTATTAGCTCTCTAAAAGAAGCCAACATACAAAGAAATCTTGAGAGGTCCCACTGGATCACTTCATACACTCATGATTTTACAGGTATGAGTCTACTTTAATCCAAGTAAAAAGAACAAAATTAGAATATTTGACAAATGCTGTTACAAGCTTGCATCTTCTAGTGTTTTTCCCTGTTTCTTAATCTAAGTACTAATAGAAGTTAGGGTGGGTGGTAAGAAACTGGGAGGTAAAATTCATTTTCAATTTATTTGTTCTAATCATATTACAAAGGGAAATGGGTAAGTTTTTCTATAAAAGGTCATTTAACTGTCATCCTTCATTTACTCTAACAAAGTAATAAGATGTGATGTTTCCATTAAGGTCTGGGGCCCATGAACCCCCTTGAACTGGATGATTACCATGAAAAGGAGGTAGCAGAGTTAACTGGACAGATAGGATTTGACCCAGAGCCTGTAAGTAATTGCAGTCAACTCTCAGTTACTTAGGGGGAAAGTATCCAGGTGTTAGGCTCCTTCTGGTTTTGCCCACTTTTTCTTTGCTTCATGAGTGGTGGTGACCAAGCTAGCAAAGGGAAAATTTAACTCATCTTAGAAGTTAATTCTGAATTGATTTGAACCGGTTTGAATATCCTTGTCCACTATTTCAAAGAACAGGGCAGGTTTCTTTTCCTATTCACAGTGCTGGTGTTGTTTTTTTAAAACAGATTTTCTACTATGCTACTCTTCTAAAATTTACAAAGGCGTCAGTTTACAAATGTTTACCCTTTAATTTAATGAGATTCTCAATAAATTCTACAAAATCCTTATAGATTTGTATATCTTGTACATTATCACTGCTTTTGAAGAGATAAAGGCTTCTTCCTGATATCCATAATAATTGAGAGTTGGCTGAATTACAATTGAAAGCCAATAAATTCTCTGCAAATATCAATACAGATTTCTTAACTGATTATGTGAAATGGCCTGAAAGAAATGATTAAGACCTTAGTGACAGAAATTATCATCTGTTGGCTTACTTATATACATGAAATAAAATGAAATAATAGTATACATATATGGTGTTTTATTTAGGGTCTAGATTTTATCCTATAAAACTACGAAGTTTTTAAAACAAAATTAGTATTTTCAAAGATATAAATTGTGGAAAGACCCATAAAAAGTGACTGTAAGATATTTCAGTATGAACTCTTTTTAGACTGGACTCATTCATTTTACATTAGCTTCAGTATTTCCCAAGGTAATAAAAAAAATCATGACACCTGAAGTAGTTCCACAGACTGTGCTTTATCATTCATAGAAGGGTTTTTTTCTTTATGTTTCACTTGCAGCAAATATTATCTAATCCTAGAAAACATTATACCTATACTGACATTGTCAAGCATGTTCAGAAGCTGTCCAGACTTCCACAGATTTGACCCCGTAGGGTCCAGCCCCTCAGGAAGCAGCTTTATCATGTTTACAAAAAAATATATGTACAGTAATACAAAGGATGCTTGTCAGGTATATTACGTGCAAAATTATTCTGCAAGCAAATCAACTAAAATTTTATTAATAACAAGATAAAATATGCCTAAAATAGTTAAAGTTTAAAAGTAAGTTTTCGTGAATCTTGCTGGTTTCTAAAACACAAATAATGGACTCTGGAAAGGCATGTTTTAGTGGTAATAGTGTTGAAATATTTTGTTGTAGTAGCATGAAATAAAGACACTAAAAACCGCTTCTTGCATAAAAGGATACTATAAAGTATGATATGATACACCCTAGACTTTATGACAAATTTAACGCAGTATTTTAAAGAGCTGGGGTTTCTTTTTTTCTTCATAGTATCTACTCAAACCTGACTGGCTAAAGGTTATAACAGATTTGTTAATAACAGATGGAAATTCCTCCAACTCTGAGCAAATTAGGATCCAAGAAGACACTCCTCAGTCCGTTTTGTTTCTAAATCCAAACTACAGTTACGATCTCCTCACCATTCTCGTTTATCTTACCTCTGCTATCAATTCTCTCCTCACCACCCATCCATTCTTTAGTTTTTCTTCAACATATTGTCATAAAAATTTTCAAACATATAGAAAGCTGAAATAATTTTGCAATTAACATCCATATATCCACCACCTAGATTCTACCATTAGCATTTTGCTGTACTTCTTTTATCACATAATCTATCCATCTTTCCATCCCTCCAACCATCCATTAATACACTTGCTGTTTTATGCACTTCAGAGTAAATTGCAGAAAACACGATACTTCAGCCTTAAACATTCAGCACGCATATCATTAAACAGAGTTCAATTTGTTGCAGTTTTTCTTTTAAGGCAAAATACACATTCAATGAAATTGCACAAATTTTAAGTATACGTTCAGTGAGTTTTGACAAATGCACACTTTTGTTACCCAACCACCTACAGATATACTGAACATCATCCCAGAAAGTTTCCACATGCCCTTTCCTCATCAACTCCCCCATCTTCCTCCTGTGCCCCAACCACAGACATGTCTATTAATAACCCTTTAAATACACACACTACTTTTGAAGTTGCCAGACATAATTCACAATGTTTGTAAAACATCTCAAAAAGCACAGATATGACTAGCTCCCCACACACCAGTGTTTCTCTAAGCAAAACACATCACTGGCCTCAGCATCATCCAAGATGATTGTTAAAAAAGCAGATTCCTAAGTCTGAACTTCTGAAACACAATCTCAGATGATCCAACTTAGGAATCTCATTTTCTCCCAGCTCCAAAGCTGATTCTGATTCAACCAAGGTTTAAGAACCCTTGGGTTGGGCAATAAGGAAGGCTTTCACTGAGATTTAAATAACTGCACATAACTGTTAACATCATCTGTTGGGGATGGCAGAAGTCTTGCTCCTGAGATTCTTTCAATATCTCTGAAAGTTTGAAAGCAAAGAGTTCCTAGATGGAGGAATTTTTCTACAGCCAAGTAAAAATATCTATCCCCCTTCATTAGCAAAAACCAGTAGATGAGAAAAACATGTGTTTATTAGGGCACAAATGTCAATGTCTATAAATAAATAAATAAACGTTGCAATATGCACTCCTACACCCATCCCATGTTTACTCAGTGAAAATGGGTATGAATTTTGACCTGACATTTGTAGCGATAAACTTAATAATGCCAGATTAACTGATTTTCTCCTTTTTATCCCACCACTACAGCAAGAAAAATTCCATCCTGTCTTAAAACCTCCCAGACCCCTGGAAGGACGAATTGCTCGACTGATTCAGAACCGACGTCCTCTGGAGGCTACTGTCCAGCAAAGACCACCTTCCTGTCCAGATTGTACCCCTAGGGTTTTGTGTACTTTTCATACCTTTGTACCCAGTTCTACAGAAATGATGGCACTTCGTGATAACAAAGTGGCGGGTGTCACCCATAAAAAACAGGAAATTGAAGACAAGATTAAGCACGAACAAAGCTTGCTATCTACCTATGCATCCCCACCTAGTTACTCAACAAAAGAGCTGACTAACATTTGTGACATAAAAACATTTCCGAAAATCACGGATACTAAAAAGATAGAAGATTTGTACTGGAGACAGCTGGCGTTAAAACCCCAACATATACCTTACTGTAACCCGAACCATTACATTCCGTATGAGCGGGTTAAATCTGTCATACGTGACCACTGTACTATGTGTCAAAACTCTGTTAGCCTTAGTAAGCCTAGTATTTTAGAAAGTAAGTCAGACTTGGAAGCTTTTGATTTAGACCATTTTTTAAGTAAGCGAAAAGAACAGATGTCCTTGAACACAGAAAACAACGAGGAAACAAGACCTATTCTGGGTTGGATTCCTAGAGCTGGAGTGGCCAACCCTCAAACTGACCTGCTGGAGCTTAAGAACTCTTTTTCAAAAACTGGTGCACAAAAACATTTCCATAAATCAATTGTAGAAGACCATAAAGACCTCAGGGATAAGGAGTATTCAGGGATGAAACACCAATTCTATGGCCATAATTCCTATTATTTCTATAATTGAGATATTCATCCTTTCCTTCAAAACCCAGCTTCTTGCAAGGAAAGTAAAAATATAACAGAACTTCTTCCATGTTGTTGGATTCTGTTTTCTAGAAGAGCCATGATGATCTTGCTAATGAAGTTTGTTTTCAGGAACTTAAGTCAGGATCTGGTCAGAGGAACCCAGAAAAGGGGATGTTCTTACTTCTTGAGAAGTTTAACAATTTCAATAAATATTAGAATCAGAAAAATTTATAGTCTTTAATCTCATTTTCAAATTATACTCCAAGGAAATTTTCCAAAATCTTGAAAAACAATGTGTATGACAAAGCTTACATCATTATTTTATAAAAATGAGTATTTGAAATTTATATGCCCAATAATTGACAGATGTCTATACAAACTATAGTACCCTAATAAAATAAATATGTGAACAATGTCCCCTCCTGTAAATGTTTGTACAAAATAACACCAAATACAAAAGACAAAACTCAGATGCCTAGTTAACTGAGAGACAGCTCTATAAATTACATTAACTTAATAAGTTATGGGCCTTTTTTATGTAAACATGTGGACAAAATAAATTGGTAGAAAAAAATGAAACCGAAAATGCTTTGCATGCACACAAAGTTGGATGTTTCTTTACATTTAGCCCTCTGATAGAGAAACATAACCATTTCCTTCATGCAGGAAAAACAAATGATTTTATTGTGAAGATCTAACAATGGCTTTAATTAGTAACTGGTAAGTTATAAGTGTGGCAAGAAAGGATGGTATCGTAGTCTGTTTGGGCTGCTAAAACAAAACACCATAAACTAGGTGGCTTACCAACAACACTTACTTCTCACAGTTCTAGAGGGTGGGAAATCCAAGGTCATAGCACTGGCAGATTTGGTGTCAGCTTCCCACTGACGGCCAACATCTCCCACCTCACATGGTGGAAGGGGCAAGGGATCTCTCCGGGCATCTTTTATGAGGGCACTAATCCCATTCATGAGGGATCTACCTTCATGAACTAATCACCTCCCAAAGGTCCTAATAAACTTTAGGGGTTAGGATTTCAACACATGAATTTTAGGAGGGCATAAATATGCACATCATAGCAGATGGCTTGATATCAATTACTCTAAAGCCAAATATTTTTGGAAGTTGTCTACCAAGAGTCTGGCTAACCCTCAAATGCAAGTCAACTCATTTAATGAGCCAAGAGGCACATTTTAGACATAGTTTATCATGGAAAGTTCATAAGGAATTTTTAAGGAGTGTTTTGTTGAGATTTCTTTTAATTTTTATGTTTCATGACCATGTCATTTAATTACACTTCCTTTAAAACTACTCTGGACTACAATTATGGAATTTTTTTCCAAACTCTATTTTAAAGCACTAGTTACAGTATAGTTAGAGCACTAGTATTGGGATATATGGGATGCAAAAAGTTACACGGTAAAATAATATTGGAGAAAACTGAGGGTAACAAAACCAATCCCATTACTTAAACACAGGATTCTCCGTAGCCTTTAATATGAAACATATTTGGGAATGGGGGGGGAATATACACATTTCTCAAATTAATTTGATTCTTTTATCTTAGAGGTTATCATCAGACTACAATTCTGAAGAACCCTGGAAGATGCAATTCTGCAGTATAGGAATTGTGGGTTTTAATTGCACACTTTCCCCTGGGTTGCAGGGACACAGAATTGCATTAGGACCATGAGCATTCACTCCACCCACCTCTATGCAGGAGTGACACAGGCTTCTCTTCACACATCGGTGTTAGCCACCCTCCTCAATACTCCTAAGAGGATGTCAGACCTACTCCTAACTCTCTGGTTGTTAAGGCCTTACTAGGTGACGGTGAATACCTACCCTCCAAGTATGCTCATCATAAGCTCAATTTTGAAAAATATTTATGGAGTCTTCCAGATTAAGATATATTGAATCCATGCATTTAATCTCACTCTAAAAAGCACATTAAAACTTTGGTAAATTATTTTGGTTTTTTACTGTAATTTTTGTTTGTTTTATCCTACACACAAAACTATAAACCAGCCAGGTCAGTAAGGGGAATAGTGCCAAGACATTAGGAATATTTGGAAAGGAGATAAATGAAAGATAGATCCTAACCAGCTGAAGACACTAGGAACTCTAAACCGGCAGTGGGGAAAACAGCCTGATTTACACAGCAGACTCCTCAAAAGGTTTAGGAAATCAGTACCTAGAGTTTCTGGGTCTGGGAGTAAAGGCCAGGGGTGGGGTTGGAGTGAGACGTTGCTAAATAAGGAAGACTGGACAAAAGCTAAGACACAGCTGGCTCCCTAGACCCTCTCCCTGCCCTGTCCCACTCCACAGTGCTAGGCAACTGCCTTCCCTCACCCTGGCAGAAGTTCAGAGGATAATTTTCTGGAGAAGGGTAAAACAGGATTTCTGGCATGGAGAATACCAGGCATAGCTGAGAAGTGGATGCTGTTCTGAAACCAGGAGGAAAAAGTACTTGGATCAGTCAGGTCCCAGCAGGAAACAGACCCTCAAAGGATTCCACTGAGAGGAGTTTAGTAAAGGAACAATTTACAAAGATGTGGGCAGGGAACCTCCAATAGTGAGGCAGCCAGGAATCAGCAACAGCAAGAAGCCTTACCACTCCCAACCCTTTAGGAGAGGTGAGGGTCCAGTGTTACAGTGCCTCCCACTAATATACCCAACCAGAAGCCAGAGAGCAAGGAGACTGAGGTGATGTAGTCCTTAGATACCAATGTAAGGCAAAGAAAGGTGGAAAATGGATGTAGACAGGCAAGAAGAAAATAACCAGAACAGTGATCTTGTAAATACCAACTCCTCAGTGCTGAGACATGCAGCTTCCTTCCACACTAGGCTTCCAGCAAACGGACAAATATCAACTCTCCAGGAAAGAGAGAATTCATAGCTGAGGTTGAACAAGGCTACACACTGCCCTCTATTCCCTTATTTTAGTTCTCATATTAAACGTGTCCTTTGCGGGTGGGAGGCCGCCTCGTGGCTCAGTTGGTTATGCGTGTGCCTTCAGCTCAGGTCATGATCCCAGGGTCCTGGGATAGAGTCCCGCATTGAGTCCCACAACGGGCTCCTTGCTCAGTGGGGAGCCTGCTTCTCCCTCTGCCTGCCACTCCCCCTGCTTGTGCTCGCTCTCTCTCTGACAAATAAATAAATCTTTAAAAATAAATAAAAATAAATTTTAAAAAGTATCCTTTTCACAGTCTGCTTCGTGCCACATTTTTCACATTTTTCTATAATTTTGTTGGTAATTTTGCTGTTTAAGATGGTCCTCAAGCATAGTGCTGAAGTGCTATCTAATATCCCTAAGAGCAAGAAGTCTTTGATGCGCCTTACAGAGAAAATGTTTGTTAGATGCGCTTCATTCAGACATGAGTTCTTACACTTGACACCAAAAATGTGATTACATAAAAGAAAAAACTTGATACTTCATCAAACTTAAAAAATTTTGCTGTGTGAAAGAGCCTGTTAAGAGGATGAAAAGCTATGCCACGGACTGGGAGAAAATATTTTGTAAACCACATATCTAACAAAGGACAAACATCCAGAATACAAGATTAAGCAAGAATAAAGCTTGCTATCTACCTATGCATCCCCACCTCATTACCCAACAAAAGATCTAACATTTGTGACATAAAAACATTTCCAAAAATCACGGATACTAAAAAGATGAAGATCTGTACTGGAGACAGCTGGCGTTAAAACCCCAACCATACTGTAACCTGAACTGTATGAGCGGTTTAAATCTGTATGAGCGGCTTAAATCTGTCATACATGACCACTGTACTGTGTTTTTTTCTGATTTATATGCTACAGTTATGTATATATATATATTTTTTTCTAATATTAACGTATACTTTTTTATTGTATTAAAATGGTCTGACAATAAAAAAGCTGCTTATGGAATACTGTTATGTTAAACTTTACTTTCAGGGTATTAAATCCTTAGAATTAAGGTTTCCCCCAGAAAAAGATTAATGGAAACATCAATTGCTTTTCAGACTTGATAGCTGCTGCTTCAAAAGTGGTTTTACACAAACACTAAATTAAAAAAAAAAAACAAGAAACTTCAGAACACAATGAAATGCCCTTTTATTTCGGTATGCATCTATATCTCAGCATTTAGTGGTCCTGAACAGAAAAGTGGAAAAACGCAGCAATTTGCCAGCGAGTCAAGCCCACCAATTTCAGGGATCTGCTGTGCAAACTGAGTTCTTTCTTAATCTCTGCTGAGGACCATGAGAAACAGCAGCACCAAAACCAAAATATGCACCAAATTCAAGGTTCTTTTTGTCCCAGTTGTCAGATTCCAAACTAGACCCAAATGGATTGCAAGATGACCAAATGAGAACCCTGTTTAAAACTTCTTCAAGTTTTAAAAGCAAAGGCAATTTACAGGAAAAGAAAACAATTCATTCAGAGGGATTGTGTGTGCTTGCTTACAAATGTCTTCTGTGGCCTTTCTCCAAGTTTCACCACCAAGAATTTTGAGAGCTGGAAGGTCTGAGTACCCCTGGTGACTGTTCTTTTCACTTTATCAAAACCTGAGCTAAAAAACTGCCGTCAGGGGCGCCTGGGTGGCTCAGTCGGTTAAGCAGCTGCCTTCAGCTCAGGTCATGATCCCAGGGTCCTGGGATCGAACCTGCGTCAGGGAGCTCCCTGCTTAGGGAGAGCCTGCTTCTCCCTCTCCCTCTGCCTGCCGCTCTGCCTATGCTCTCTATCAAATAAATAAATAAAATCTTAAAAAAAAAAAAACTGCATCAGTTGATGATGACAGCAGAGGGTGGCAGGGCTGAGGACCCAATATTCATTCCCAGGCTGGTGGAATAAATGGTTCCAAAACTAAATGAAGGAAGTCAGAAGCTCTTTCCAACCTTACCTGATGGCTTCTGGCCAAAGCAAGGAAGTATCATGAAAAGTGTTGGGTTGTGATGGTACAAAAAGGGCTGTGAGGAGGAAGAAGGAAAAAGCAGTACCCCTTGATTAAGGTGGGGGAGAAGATATGGGGAAAGCCCTGAATTCCTCATCAAAGGCCAATTTCAGAGGGGAGCAGAGGGGGTTACAATCTATGTTTTGGCCAAGAGTGGTAGTGGGAAGTGAAGAAAGGACAATGGCTAGGAAGGGAGAGGGCATCATTTAAGACTTAAGAGAAAGAAACCAGGGGTGCAGATGGGGTACCTCCGCCCACCCACCAGTAGTCCCACAGGTTGTGACCTGAAAC